CAACAGTGTCAGTCAAAGATCCAGTGGCAGTGGAAGTCGTTCTGGTCTTTCCTGGACAACGAGAGGTGACGGTAGTCGTGTGCTTACCCACAGTAGTCTTTGGCACATCCACAACAACAGTGTCAGTCAAGGAACCAGTCACAGTAGAAGTCGTAGCATAGTTCTCAGTCCAAGTGCTAGTAACAGTGACAGTCTCGTGTGGAATCTCAACAATAACAGTGTCAGTCAGCTTACCAGTAGCAGTGGTAGTGGTGGCGTAGTTTTTGTTCCAGATGCTAGTCACAGTGGTTGTCACGTGAGGAACCTCGACAATAACAGTGTCAGTCAGTTTACCAATAGCAGTGGTAGTTGACTCAAAACTGTTGGTCCAAGTGCTAGTGATCGTGGTGGTCTTTTTTGGGACCTCTACCACAACAGTATCTGTCAGCTTTCCGGTCTCAGTGGTCGTGGAAGTAAAAGTCTTGGACCAAACCGAAGTCACAGTAGTGTAACATTTGCTGTTAGCGAATGTGGCCTGGAAAACCTGGGATCCAAAATCCGTAATCGTGTCTCCAGAGGGGTCAGTTACTTGCAAGTCAATACCCGTATTTCCCAGCCAGTTAAACATGACGATTTTGACCGGATAGTAAATGCCTTTGGTAAGAGTGAAAGAGGCGGTGTTAACATTAACCGCCGTGTTTCCTCCACCTCCGTATGGGCCCAAAGTATTAATATTGAAATCACCACTCACACTACCAGAAGCATCATTACAGCATGATTGACCGGAACCAAATTGCAAAGAAGCACCATTGTCTGCAGCCAATTTGAAAGAGTAAGTACCTGATTCTGCGGCTTTGTAAAAACCGCTCAATTCGAGCGTGTAGTTAGAAATGGTCGTGTCGTATCCATAAATGGTGTTGCGCAATAAGACCCTGTCAGGTTGATCCGAGTACTGGAAATTGATGCTTGTGACACCCGTTACAGTTTTCAAAAGAGTGGTCTTGTAGGTGGAGCTAAAGAAGTCTTCGTCCCAGCCTTTGTTATCTCTAAGCCCATAAGTGTAGAATCTGGCGTCAAAACCTTCAGCGCCTACCTCAGTAGGGGTGCATCCAGAAGTCGCGGAAACGACACCCACTAGAGAAGCGGCAAAGTAGAGAAATAGGTGAAGCATGCGCGCGTACTGATTAAGAAATTTCTCTTGGAGATAGCGGCAATGTTTGAATTTATAGTGGGATTCAGTGGAAATAAATTTTCCAAGTTGTTCGTAGAAAGAGTTCCGTGCCGGGATGCTCAATGTGCAAAAGCTCTCGGTAAGAGCCATGCAGTATGCATACGCCTTCTGAAATGCAAGATCCTGCTTAGGCGACCGCGGAGAGTTTGCGTCCGGTATAGACACGGATGCAAGTACATTGACGAGATTCACACATTCCAACAAAATGCCGTCCGACGCGAGCACATTCAAGAAACCACAATTCAAATTGTATATCAATCTATATTCTGATACTCTCAAAAGATCTGAACAGATTTGGGAGATCCTCTTTATTAAGTTCCTGCTGATTGAAAATAAGGCTTCCGGAATTTGATCGAAACTATAGGTGGAAGAACACAAGGCACATACTGCGGTGAGATAAACCAGAAAGCGAGCCAAATAGGGGCTCAAACTAGTTTCACCTTTGTTGTCTTTCCGCTTTGGTCAATTGTATTCGGCCATTCGTATGTATTTGTGTGCATGTTAAGTCCGGATTAGCAGCGCTAGACCTCGACTGCCCACCATAGCCGAAAAAAATACATCCCATTCCGGCCGCATATATGCACGAGGGCGTATCCAACATCGTGTATGTCAGCAGCGAGTATTCGTCCCCTTCTGGCATTGGTCAACTCGGTTTCGCACAAAAATGTCGCTATCTCCAAGTGCACTGTTCTCGTCGTAGTTGCGAGCCTGGTGACGTATACATTAATGCGTATACGAAATCTCTGTTTTGAGGGGTCTGTTTTTTCAAACGCATAAGTGTGATATCACTAACAATTGAGATTTCCTCATTTTAAAAAACCGCCGCAATGAAGGGCGAGAAGATTGTCCTCTTAACTTTTTTTTCAATTTAGCTGGCGGTAACACTCAGCTTTACAAAAGAAAGTAATTTTAAGAAGCGTTTTGTTCGCTCACTCGCGGAGGAATATTTCTACATTGTTTACGAAAGCTGGGTCCAAAAAAAGTTCGCGTTTGTATTCTTGCGTTAATCTGTCGGCAGAGTACACATTGGCGAATATTATATGCAGACTTGAATTAATTCTCTTACGTAAACACCATTGCCTCGGGTCCAGACTCGGTCTAAAAATGTTCAGCGCAAGTTAATGATGAATGGTCAACACTATATCTAAAACAGATTCTTTTTGTGGGAATGGTCACTATCGTCAATGTCGTGATTTTGCAATGATTGCCGATACATTGATTTCAGTCTGAGGCGTACATGGCCCATCGAATTGGGACATGACGATCTTTTACTGCACCAAGCATGATATCAGAATCTTGCCTTGACTTTGGGCGTGCAGTGATGAAAAAAACAGAGGCGTGTACCCTCGAGACAAAGTAAAAATTATTTCGACTAATCGGGGAAGGCCGGAATAAGTCGGTTCATTGCATCCCAAATAGTGTCTCGAGGCGTACTTTTTGCCGGTAAATACATAAGCACACACAACATTGATGGTCTTATTTGTATTGACTTTCTCGAATGCTGGATGTTATCATTTCTTGGAAATGTTCCTAGTTTGGCATATCTGAAGGTAAGTTGTCTGATGTAATGCTTAGCGTTCGATGCCTTTTTGCTTGTATGCACGCCTATTCGTATTTGTGAGTGTTTCCGCGATGGATGTTTCTGTTCCGTTTCTCGAAGGCGTAGGACTGTACGGTATCGGATAGAATATCCGAGGTTCCGCGAGACAACAGCCGCGGATGTTAGGTGAAACAATAATAACGCAGTTGGTCGCTTAATGAGTCATGAAATTATTTGAAATGAATAGTTTCTTAGTTGACTGCCGAAAAGAACAGTGCAATTGGAGGAATGTTCATCTTGTGTGCATGATGCTTTCCAGTACATACGGTGTGCATATACATGTGAAACGATTATCGAGTGGCCCATAATCTTTATTTTCAGCCCCAACATTTGAGCCGCTTTCGCAACTTGCTTTTTTTTTCTGAATTATGTATCTTGCTCTTTAGAATCCTGGATGAATGTTCGAAAAGAATGATTTTCATCACTGAAGAAGAACTTGGCAAGTCGCATGTGTACTACATCACCTTTCCAAGACTACCAATAATTGCAGAGTGTCTTTCAACGCGTGTTGGTAAGACAAGAACTCTATCCATTTGATGCATGAAACTGTATTGAATAGACGTACAAACTAAGTCCACGTATACCATATGTGCTCTCACAAATGGCGTCTCCAACAACATACCACGAATGCAATGTATTCGGGAAATGCAACACTGTTAATTTGAGAGCGGGGACTTGCATTGTTTACTCGGTTTTAACATAGAAACGAGATAGCACAGAGGTTCAAAAGGGATGTTGCTTGTTTCTTTTTCAAATTTTCAATGTCAAAGCCGCCCCGCTAAATTCCTATGTGAAAACAAATAAGCTCAGTAAATTGCTGAAAGCATCGAATGCATTTTCAAATGAAACATGCTCTTCGAGTCAATAGCGCCACTTGTTGCTATGTGGACGAATGGAGGGCACGAGAGACGTGCCGTGCATGTAGACTGTACAAACAACATGCCAAGTCCTCGCTTGGTGACGGACATCAAGAGGGGAACAAATAAAAATTCAAGAATGCAATAAAGAGCCATTCTGATGCTTGAAACATCGAGCTGTACGGGTAGAAATGGGATAGTGGGTAACTAAAAAAATTTAAGCGAGAAGACAACAAGTAGCTTTGACACTAGGGTCAATTGTTGCCATCCATCCAAGTCGAAGTGTTTGGTAGTTTCTTGCCAGTGCCAAGACTGAAAGTTTAGCCGAGAAAGCTACTTTATTTTTATTTCTTCTTTTTCTTCAGTTCTTCTTTCGGAACCTATTCAGCAGCTACGAACCCAATTCGGAAATCAATGCATACAATACGCAACTCCGCTTGATTTTACTTTTTTCTTGCTCTTTCTGCACAGACAATGTGACTTTCGTCTGTGATTTTTCGGGCAATCTATTTCTAAAGCAATAGACTAGATGAGATGAAAAGCATTGATCTAGTCAGGAAAGACTGGTGCTATGTGCGGCTATTGGTGTACTTTTTGCCAAAAATTTCAATCACCCAAATCTGTTGTGTACTGGAAAAAAACCAATTAACAATAGCACAAAAGATTAATCATGATTTAATGAGAAAGTATGAACGCGTAGTTCAAGCAAAGGGCGCATGCTAGGAACCAATGTCTTGCGCGCCTAAGGTACTGCCTGTCGAAAGATCTAACAAAGTCAGACATTCAGCAACATAATACAAGATGCAGCGGTCATTATGGATATATATGTATACATGTGCAGACGGTACCAAGGATTCCCAAACATTAAGACCAAAAAGCGTACCCAATATAAATCTCAGCGCGTTTTTTCTCACATAAGTCTATAGCATCACAGCCAAGTCTACAACTCCTCTACGGATAGGTCTTTCTTGATCATAAAGGGCTTTCCCCTCCACTCGATTTCATGGCCCACCATTGCGGCGAGCCATATGGGCAAAGCAAGTAACTCCCTCATGATCCAAATTTTGAGCCATTGCCATTTGGACCGCAAAGACGGGTCAATGCCCCGTAACCACAGAGGCCCGTGAAGAGTGGCAGTGATATTTTGAGCCCAGATATGATACTGTGTGTAGTCACAAACGAACCAACACGCCATATGAAAAGCAAAAAATTCGAGGCTAAACAAACGTCCCCAAAAGAGCTTTGAAAGGGCGTATGTGCCCATAAGGCCACAAACAAGTGACTCGGTTGTGGGTTCAACGAGCGTGGCGGCGAGCACCATATACTTACGCACCCGAAGCCAACGCACCCTCCGGTTACAGTACTCGCGCACAGATGACGCCGGGTTCTGCGCCGCTAGCGGCTGAATGACTATGTCGCCCGTAAGCGCCGTTCTGCCCGCGCAGAACTCCCAGAGAGCAATGGCAATCATGTTGTCCTCGCCAATGTACTTGGCAAAAAACTCCATGGCGTGGCCAGGACCTTTGCGCGAAACCTGGCGAGCATCCAGCACCACATGAGGGTCACAGAAGAACGGAGAGTGCCGGAGCGGTATCTGCAGCACAGCAAAGTCCAAGTCCGAGCGACGATACAAGTTGGATTTGCCGTTGACACAGGGCGCGATAGACAAGTTGTTCAAGCTTACGTAGAACTTCAGGTGCGAGGTGAAGAGGAACATCTCGTCCAAGAGGCTGCCCGTGCCCATGGGTTTGCGCCCAAGAGCCAAGGCGAGCGGCACGTGGTGCACCAATTTGACCCGGCGCCCCGTTTTCCCGAGGCGCGTGCCGCAGTTGGTATTGTGGGCCATGGCGGCGGCAGAATTCGCCAAGAGATGCTGCGAGGCCCACACGTTCAGGTCCATGATCCACACTAGGTCGTGCGCCGCGGCGAGGAAGCCCTTGGCCAAGTTGTTGACCTTGGGATTGGGGCCGAAGTGGTCGCCGTCGGGCGCCAGCACCAAGATCTGTGCGTCGATGTGTGGGTACTTGGCCAACAAGCCTTGCAACACGGGAATGGCCGGGTCGTGCGCGTCCGCCACGCAAAAAATGATCTGGAGCTTGTTTGCGGGGTAGCTCTGTAGAAACGACAGCTCGAGACACGATGTGAGCTCTGGATCGAGGCCCTTTACGGGACGTATAATCGTCACGGGCTCAAGCACTGCACTAGCCGCGGCAGCTTCTGGGTCCTGCAATATGGGGTCACATGAGTCGGGGTCACATGATGCGGAACCATGCAATTCAGGGCCATGCGCCTGCGGAAGTGGCGGGTCGGGCGGCGCGTCGAAATTTGCGTAGATGCTGTAAAAACCACAAAGCGCGGCCGTGAGCATAACCGCGTACCATAGTAAGAATATATAGGCGAGCACCACGGCGAACATGGTTGGCACGATCTCTTGTGTGCTTAGATGATCATCAAGAGATGCTGGGGTATATGGGAGCAAAACGCCTCAGGATCAATGGCAGAGATTGTTTGTGATACGCGTCCCTTGAATCGCCTCGAAAAGAAGAGTGGTTGATCCAGACCCATGCCGCTGTTCCTTGGTGTACTTTTTTTTTTTCGCGCGCGCAGGCTGTAGGGTGTTCATTACTAGGGTGTTCATTACTATGGTGTTCATTACTAGGGTGTTTATTACTAGGGTGTGTTCTGAAATCTTCGGGTCCATTTTGTTCCTTCGGGATCCACGGACTCTTTGGACGTCTTCATGTTTGATGATTTAAAAGTTTTTACCCTCGCAGAAGTGGATTGCCACATGAGGCATACGCTTAAGGTTCGCTGTAAGTATTTGGCACCATATGTGTAGGATTTGACAGTGGTCGATGCGCGTGGCTCACCACCAGTTTTCGGTAATTTTGGGATCTTGCATACTGTGTCACGTGTGGGCTGACAAAAGCCAGTCTCTGGAATTTTCAATGTTCTCCCCTCTATGAAGCTATTGATTGCTGAAACAGAAAGCACGGCTCAATGGAGACATTGTGCTTCCTGGACCACAAACGGAAAACATCAGTAAAGTTACTTGGATGGGAATCATGGGTGAACACATTATTTGGCTCAGGAATCGGTCGATGATGGTCTGTTCCAGTGTGCTGGAGCCCACGACAACATGCAAAGCCAGAGTCATGAAAAAGTCCATATCCTGGCTCAAAAGCTATCATTTGAGCTTTATTGCTGTAGAAATTTTCAATTCGGAGACTTCTGGATTTTTGGGAATGATAACAACTATTTCAGTTCGAGCTCACGTCTGGCTATTTTTCTAAAAATTAGCAAGCAATGACTAAACCTACGGAAAATATGAACCGCAAGAAAATATTCTGGTCGAAAATACAAATGACCGCTTTACTTTTGGAATACAAAGACTTGATCAGGCTTTCTCTCAGCTATTTAAAAAAGCAAAAAGCCCCGGAAATCAAGAATCATATCGTTTTCCTACACATATAGTGGTACATAGGGGTACGGCCGCGTGACTTGAAGTGATTCTCCAGTGGCAAACGAACTTGATCCTTGGGGGTTTCTAACTACTCAGGTAGTGGTAGTACACGGTTTGAAATACTGGGGCTGGCTTAATAGCTCATAGGATCAAACTTGCGTATGCTTTAAAGGCCCATTTTCCCAAGAAAGCATGGATTTGTACATTTTGGTACAGGCAGCCTTGTCCACCCTTTGGAACCGCTCACATCGTTCTCGATCTTCTTGGACCATGGAATATCAGTTCTTCCCGAATCTTCTAGTCCTGATTTCAAGAGTAGTGTTCGTCCTTCCAGTGGCACTATTAAATTGAGCATATTCAAGTATTTTCCGCTATAAGTGGAGTCGCACGAAGTAAAATATAAGTCGCTGAAATCCTGATAATATCTGTGTATCTTTGAATATTTCTGTATTCAGTAATTGTGCTTAGTTATTCAGATAAATATATAGAAACAACCACCGTTTGTATAGTGCTTCCAACCAAAGTGATCGGATAATTTTGTTTTGTATTGACTATTGATCGTCGGTCCGGCCTGTAGTGACACAATTCAGATATCTTTAATTGCACTGAGCTATATGTAGTTGCGGGTTTGAGTGAATTTTAAAGATGTCTATATTATCCGTGATATTTATGAGCGCATGCCAAATAAACACCTCACTCTTCTCATATTGTGCTAGAAGTATGACAGAGTGGCACCCATTCATATGACTTTGAGAAGAGAGTTTTCGCTGAGCGAGAATTCAAACCAGAGCAAAGATTACCTGATCGAGAATCAAAGCCAAAAAAAACGCAAGCGTTATATTGAAGTTTGGATATCCCAAATATCAGGGTCGAAATAAAACGGCGTTGTCTGAAGCCGTTCACGTACGACTCGAAACATCAAAAAATAGAGAAGTCTTTGTCACCAAACTTTAAAACCGAAGAGCACTATCTAATCTGACTGAATCCGAGAGAAGTTTATAAGAATACGAAGGTACCCCAAAAACAGATAATACAATGTCTACTGCAAAATATTAGGGAGGAAAAAAAGCGCGTATAGCTAAAAAAAGCGTGAAGCTAAAAAATGCGTTAATTTGTTATTTTATTGTCATTTTTTTCAGCATGTTTCTACAGCTTTTTAAGTCGCACGTAGGATTTGCGTCAATCAGCTGCAATGGCTCGCATGTGTCTCGATGACTTGACTCAATCGGCGTTTGCAAGCAGTACATGTAGTTCTTTCAAGTATATATTTGAACAGCGTAAGATTTTTCACTTGGTTCGGTATCTAATTCAGTGCGCAATGTCTCAGCTTTATCGCTGCTCGTGATAGCCACGAGTGCAAATGAAATATTTGTCATGGATTTTGCCATGGTTGCAGATGCGTTATTTTTCCGGCCGTTCCAGTGATCATAACACCTTTCGGCCGGTAACCAGATGTGTTAAAAAGCTCACACCACGTATACAGATCCCACAGTCTCATGCACCACCTTACGGCAAAACACCTTCTCACAAGAAAACAAGGAAACAACATTCAAGTACAAGAAGCCCCATCATTTCTACTTTTCTACGGGCCACGTGGAGCTTCATTAGTCAAAATGGTTGAACGCGTGGACAATCGCCCATTACTGAAAGCCCTGGGCGTCTTTTGGATGTGTCGCGGATAACTACTCGATGTAGCCTCAAAGGACCACGAAAAACCCGCCCTTGTAAAAAAAAAAGAGTTTTGTGCCGGCCATGACTAATTCTTTGTCAAGACTTAGTAATCGGCTCCACCTCCGCGCACCGCATGCAGGTTCGTATTTCTGCGGGCTGACAGAAACAAGAGCCGTGCTCCGAGAGATGCGCAGGGTCATTGATCTCCTACTATATAAGTGTGCTCCAACGGCCAGTCTTCTCCAACACTCACCTATTTACCTTCAAGACAAGCAGTACACTTCTGGAAATGCCCAAAATCGTTATAATTGGCGGCTCGTTCGCCGGGCTCAATGCGCTCGCCACCATCTTCAAAACAGCCGGATCTACAAGCATCGATGCCACGCTTGTGGCCCCTAATTCTCACGCCTATTTCAATGTGGCGTCGCCCCGTTTGCTCTCTGAGCCAGATAAGTTTTCAGAGACTACTGTGCCTGTTTCGGAGGCCGTGCAGAAGCACTCACGTGGAAAAGCCACGTTTTTACGTGGTCTGGCCACGGCTGTGGACTTCGATAAGCGCGAGGTTTCGGTCCAGTTGATGGCCGGCGGACACAAAACGCTCCCATACGACATTCTCGTGGTGGCCTCCGGCACAGAGGCCAAGTGGGCGGGGTACAAAGTGAACACGAATCATGAGGACGCACACAAAGCCATCGTGGCTGCAAACAAGGCCCTCAAAAACGCTCTGTCCGTGGCCGTGGTGGGCGGGGGCCCCACCGGGACGGAAGTTGCAGGCGAAATTGCGCACGTGTTCAAAAAGGCAAAGGTCACGCTCTACACCGGCGGCCTGGGGCCGTTGGCCGGTGCTGCGGCCAAGCTTTCTGGGAAGGCCCTGAAAAAGCTCGGAGCCTTGGGCGTCGAGCTTGTGAATGGCGTGCAGGTGCAGTCCGTCTCGGGGACAGCGGGGGGCAAGTCTACAGTGGCGCTAGCCAACGGCCAGTCACGTGAGCACGACCTTGTTTTGGAGTCGTACATTGTGCGGCCATACTCGGAATTTCTCCCCTCGGCCGTCAAAGATGGCAAGGGCTATGTGGTGACCGACGACCACTTGCTTGTCAAGGGCCAGCGCAGCGTGGTAGCTTTGGGAGATATCGTTTCGGGAAGCTCGAAAAGTCTCGTGGATCTCAAGATGCGCCAGGCCGGGCTTTTCCGGGCCACGATCCAGAACTTGCTCCGGGACGTGCAGAACCCGGAGTTTTTGCCTGGCGCCAAGACTGCAAAAGAAGGGCTGGAGTATCAGCCGGTGACACATACTATGATGGTGCCCATTTCGCGTGATGGTGGAGTGGGCATGGTGTTCGGCATCTCGCTTCCGAACTTTGCGGTGCACTACGGTAAGGCCAAGACGTTCATGCTTGAGAAGGCTCGCTCGGAGTTCGTGTGATTATTTTTGGATAGGTTGCGGTTGCGTGGAGTTGTGCGGTGTGTTTAGAGAGGATGGGCTGGGGCTTGGTTTGCGTGGGTTCCAGATGGTATAGGATATGGCGGTGGTGCTTATAATTTTGCCAGCGTCCTCAGCGTCTTTTGTAAGAGTTTATTGCTTTGCACTGCCTTTTGTTGTGGGCTGGTCTGTATAAAGCTTTACTGGCCTGTGCTACGTTGTATATCTCTTGTTAGTTGAGCTGAGAGTAACGAATATACAGCAAGTTGGCATCACGTCATATATATCAGTTACGTCATGTATGCTCAATTAAGACAGACTTTAGGCATCACTCACATGTGGTTTTTCCATGTACGAGACATTGACGAGTGTGCAAACAAAAGCCTTACATCTCTTGGAATGACCATCTGCATCTTCTTGTGCAATTGAAATTTCCGATTATCTTTGAAAAGGATTTCAACACACTTCTGCGTCATGATCCTCGGACATAGTCGAGGAAAAGCCGGGTCTAGGAAGTAGGTGTTCATCCATGCTACTATTTTGATTTTGACAATTCACAGGCATGGTTCTGACTTGGATTTTGCTCTTGATTACTGCGGGACTTCCATCACATGCTTGAAGATTCAGGCACCAGTGCCTTACCATTGTCCGTGACTCCGTTTTTGAAGAGAACTGCTGCGACAAAAATGGTGCTGTTTCTGGTGGGGAAAAACCACGCAATGCCACTGATGAAAGGTAATTACATACAACCCATGGGGTTGTCAAAATTGTTCAGAAGCTTCGAAGAACGGGGTCAACCAGAGTTTGATTCGAGGACATACGACTTATCATGGACCACATAAGACATATTCAGATAGCCAGATCAAAGAACACCGATGCTTTATTCTAGAGATTAGCACAAATATGACTTTTCTCCGGAGCGAGAAGAAGCGAAGACCAAAAATGGGGCTGCCCTCGTCTAAATTACTCTCACGGTCATACAGAAGTTGTATTAAGCTGACCCCAAGCTCAAACAACAGCTGAGGTCTCGATTCAATAGTCCGAACTTCACTATACAGCTGAATAGCCAGAACCACTGTGGACTTTGACTTTCACAAGGAAATCATAGGCATGCGCATCTCATGTCAGCTTTGAAGAGTCACCCAAAAAGCACATATCCACAATTCTACGGCCGTCCAGAATCTTGGCTATGCAAGTGTTATACTATAAGTACTGTTTGTACATTTTAGGCGAGCATGAGTCGCTACTATACTTTAATTACGGAGAAGCAGTTGTTGAAAAAGAGCGTTATCTTGACCTCATTAATTGGGGTATGGCACAGAGAAAATCATATTAAGTGGCCAGGGAGAGCAGAAGCACATGACAGGAATATTGATAATCCTCAGGATTGAAGCCCCCATCGACTTCGGTTGATAAAAGCTACTCAGGTGGGCAGTTCGATGACGGCGCCTCACGTGATCTTGCCGTGGGAACCCAGCTTATTATCCCACAGCCCATTTTCCCAAAGCAACAAGATATGATTTTTCGCCAATACACCATGTGCCACCTCTAGCCAGCTACACACTGTTCGTGGCAACCCCGAAATGGCAGCGCGAGGCACAACCTGCTCATTCTGAACAGGCACATTATCGCCCGACGATCAGGCGATTCTGATTTGATGGTACGGATTCTACTGACCATCAAAAGCTTCTGTTCTGTTTCCACGCAGTACAGCCCTATATACTCAGGATGTACACTGACGATACCATGCATATAATCCCGCCGCCCTGATGCTGAACAGCCATGTGCCAATAGGCTTCTCGCACCGTGTATTAATTGTTCGCAATATTTCTTAGCTCTCCTGTATTACAGTGCCCGGCACTTTCAACATATGTGGCCAAGTAGAAAACGGCCACTCTACTTCCAATTGTGCAGGAGCTATCTTATCTGCGCCGAAATGCCAAGAGCTTTTTTTACGGGCCAACGCTAATATGGGACGTGGGCCTTCCAGACTGCCCTGGGCCTATCTCGAGATACGAGCACCCGCACGTGACCAGCCTGGCGCCTCCACAACGATCCTCGGCAGAAGGGAGGAGAATGCCCACGCAAGGGAGATGCAAACCAACGGGCGCCGGACGCAATAAACAAAGGGCTCAGAAAACGCAGATAACTGGGAATCAAAAAAAACCCCGAATCCCACAGAATTCCGAATCGTGCCAAAATCCCGATCTGCAAAAGTCCGATATTCTAGACGTCCGAGCAATTCGGCCAAGTCCGAAAAAAAAAAGTGCCGAGGTCCGGGCCGCGCATCCGGCCCCCACATTTCGCGCAATGGCCCCGGACTTCATAGGCTGGACGTTTCCCCCACACTCTTATATAAGAGCGTTCTGGCACCCCCAGATTTTTGCAGCACTTTTTTCTCAAGCGTGGATTCTCAACCAGATATACGTTTTTTTTTTAGGTTCGCACTTCTAGGTTTTGGTTCCCGAATTCTCAGAACACAGAATTCCTGAATTCGTCCCAGACTGCCCGACGACCCTTTTCGAGCCCTTCCATTTTTTGGTTTTCGATCGTCCGAATCCCGAATCCGTGAATTGTCTTGATCCCGAATCCGTGGAAGCACCCAATTCCCGGACCCTCTCTAGCCGTCTTGTATTTATTGGCTCGCGACTTTCCCAATGCTCAAGTCTGTGGCCAGAATGACCAGAACATTTTCTTCCTCAGCCGCCAGGGGCGACTTGTTCAAATATCAGGGCGCGCTCCCCCACTTGCCCGTGCCCCCACTCGCAGACACGTGCGCGAAGTACATCAAAACAGTGGAGCCGTACCTCAGTGAATCCCAGCTTGTGTCCACAAAAGCCGTGGTGGCCGAGTTCGCCCGGCCGGGCGGCAAGGGCGAAGCGTTGCAGCAGCGGCTCGAGGCGTTTGCCGCCGGCAAAGACAATTGGTTGGCCGAGTTCTGGGACGACTACGCGTACATGTCGTACCGGGACCCCGTGGTGCCCTACGTGTCGTACTTCTTCAGCCACAAGGACGTGAACAACCCCCTCGGCAAGAACCAGTTGTACAAGGCCAGCTTGCTCGCGTACTACACCACGCAGTTCTTGCTCGACGTGGAGACCGAGACATTGGACCCCGAGGTCATCAAGGGCAACCCTTACTGCATGAACGCGTTCCGCTTCATGTTCAACAACTCGCGTGTGCCGGCCGCAGGCAGCGACATCACCAAGACATACAGCGGCAAGGACCACCGCTACTTTGTCGTGGCCTTGAACAACAACTTCTACAAGGTGTTTCACCACGGCGCGGATGGCCAGCCCTTGTCCAAGGCCGCCATCTACCACCAGTTGCTCCACTTGACCACGGCCGTCAACCCACGTGTTCCTCGTGGCGAGGGCGTGGGCGCGCTCACGTCTTTGAACAGGGACGAGTATTTGTCCGCGTACGAGCACCTCGTCAAGTCGCCTGTCAACGCCGCGTCGCTCGAGTCGATCTTCGCGTCCTCGTTTGTCATTTGCCTTGACGACAACTACCCGGTCACCATTGAGGAAAAGTCGCGCAACTGCTGGCACGGCGACGGCCAGAACCGCTGGTTCGACAAGCCGCTCGAGTTCTTCGTGTCGAAAAACGGCAACTCGGGCTTCTTGGGCGAGCACTCCCGCATGGACGCCACGCCCACCGTGCAGTTGAACAACCGTATTTTGCAGCAGATCGCCGCGGAGGACCCTGCGTCGTTTGTCGCCGAGATCACCGCCCTGGGCGCTGCTCCAGCAGAGGCCGTGCCCCAGGGGCCCTCGTTGTTGCCCTTCGACCTTTCCATGCAGGCCAAAACCGACATCAAGAACGCCAAGGAGAAGTTCAACGCCACTATTGCTGCGCTTGACCATGAAGTCTTCCAGTACTACGGGTACGGCAAGAACTTGATCAAGCAGTTCAAGGTCTCGCCTGACGCATATGTGCAGATGTTGATGCAATTGGCTTACTACAAGTTGACGGGCGTGGTGCGCCCAACGTACGAGTCTGCCGCCACGAGAAAGTACTTAAAGGGCCGGACTGAGACTGGGCGTGTTGTGTCGAACGAGTCAAAGGCCTTTGTCGAGACTTTCACGAACGACCTGGTTCTGAACGAGGCCAAGATTGCTGCCTTCAATGCCGCTTGCAAGCAGCACGTGAAGTATTTGGGCGAGGCTGCAGACGGAAAAGGCGTTGATCGCCATCTTTTCGGCTTGCTGCAGATGTTGAGCGAGGGTGAGGACGTGCCGGAGATTTTCAAGGATCCCGTGTTCAAGCACTCTTCTACATGGTATGTCTCTACGTCGCAGGTGCCCTCCGAGCACTTCCAGAGCTGGGGCTGGTCACAGGTTATTGACGAGGGTTTCGGCTTGGCGTACTTGGTCAACTCCGAATGGTTGCACGTGAACATTTCCAGCAAGAAGGGCTACGGCTTGAACTCCGCCCACTTGAAGTACTACTTGGTGGAAGCTGCCAATGAAATGAAGCAGGTGTTGTCGACGCAGCTCGCACCAAAGGCCAAGCTCTAGACATGCTCACACCTATGCCTCTTCTACATGAAGGGAAATGAGACGCAGTAGCCGTCTTCCAGGTCCTGAAGTTTATACAGAGGCTGCGCCAACATGTCGTGCAATATATTACCCATAGATAAAAAAGTAGATTGACGAATAAGAAAACATCAACGACAATACTTTCAAGAAGTCCACATCAGCTTCAGCCAGAATTGAGTCTCGACTGGTCTACGTCTCTAGGCATTGCTCCGAGGATGCACGGGTGTTTTCCCATTGCCTCACTTACCCCATAAACCACCATTGTCCGGAAAATCGTGGATTCCCCAATTGTCTTCAACTTCCCTATTCTAGTCATCTTGTGGCCTCCAGAATAACTAAAGATCAACTTCTGTTTTCTGATACTCTCTCCAGTTGTAGTAGCCAAGTGGTCCGACCTGTATCTTTAGCTAATATAGTATTGCCCCACATTCAGGGTAGATATTTCTTTGGAAACTTTTCCAAATGTCCAGCTCGATCAGCTACCTCACGGTATACAATGCTCATAATGGAGTAGCAGCCAAAATCCCGAAGCCCGTGCGGTTTTCGTCATTGCAGAAACTCAAAAACTATCTCCGGGAGAGCTTTACAGATGACATAATCGGCTCTACAGATAACGTGTTTTTGCTCACCCCGTTTGGAATCAAGCTTGACTTTGCCATGATCAATGAAATGCCAGAGTTGTATCTATATGACCGCCGTCTTTTCCAAAAAGTCGCCGAGAGAGCGTTGCTTGTGCGGTATCTAGACCAGGCTAACAACCCGCCTATTGCTTCTCTAAAACCGGAGCCCCTTTCGCTTTTTGGCGCCCCATCTGGCCCGGCGTCGCCACAGAACATAAAAGAGCTCTTGACGAGCCTCAAAACATACGAGAAATGGACCGATCACGTGGCCTTGAATCTCCGGCATATCAGCGACAGAATCGACGTGATTATCCGTCAGATCAACGTTGTTTTCAAGGCGTTGAACGTCATATTGCTGTTTGCATCGAACTTCGTGGGCTCGGCCGAAAAGTCCTTCAAGTCGCAGTTCAACCACGTCAAAATGCTAGCCATGAAGTCGCTCAATAAGTCGTGGAAATCGTATGCCGCCTCTCTTGAGGAGTTCCCGCCTTTCAGACTTAAAGACGGCTCCGTGTTCCGCCTTGCCGACTACGTAGACCACAATTCGTTCTCTGAGGCTGCCAGATATGTCTCTGAACATTTGCCTGGAGTGGTTCTGCAATTTAATGACTTGTCTCTGACGGTCAACAAGATGAATGAAGAGAAATTGAGAGTGGACAAGTTCATCGAAACACACCGGCGGGAGTCCATGACAACGTTTGAGAATTTCGACGCGGAAAGACAGTCTCTCAACCTGCAAGTCGAATCTCTCGTGGCAGAAATTGCTGCGGATATGCGGACATTGGACACTGCTCCTTCGGATGAGCTCCAGAAGCATAACACAAAGCACACTGCCATCACCCAGCAGCTCTATGAAAAGGCTGTTTCCCTGTACAAATTCCTACAGTCGTTTGATGCTTTTTTGGCGCGGTTGGTATTGGCATGTCCGGAAGTATTTGAAAACGTTGCTACGCAACAAATGAAATGCGTGGAGGTGAAGCTCGCCGTAAAGAACATGTTATCTTCTGCATGCCAGACGGAAATCCAGCCTGGCGCACGGAATGTGTTTGCCAAAATCAGGGAGCATGAGAGCTTGCTTTCGACATGCGTGGATCTTCCCCTCTTGTTTGGCGTTGTGTTGATCGAAAAGAGAAGGCAGTTCGAGTGGCACGACTTCTACTCCAAGGGCATCATTGCCAACGTGTCAGAGCAGCTTGCCGTGATCATCGAAGACGAGAAAATCTACCAGAAACTCTGGATCAAGGAGTTTGGGTCACTCATCAAACTCTTCAACCTGAATACAGATATGCACGTGCGCGTGCCAGCCATCGACGTTACTTTGGTCAATTCTGGCTTGTTTCTGTCGGAAAACTCGGTGCTCCACTGGCTTGGCGACAGCCGGGTAGAAAGAGCAGATGTATTGAACTACATCGAAAGTGTGCGGCATCATCGCTTCGTTAACAATGACCGTTTTGCAGCTTTGTTGGAGAAGAACTTCAGGGGGTTGGTGATGTGCACGGAAAAGCTCAAGGCCGTGACAAAAGCCGTGGTGTCCTTGCGATCCCACGCCATGCTGCGTTCAGACGTCAGTCTGCAGCTGCAGCTGCGTGTCCAGGAGAACGGTCTAGGCGTCGAAGAAGACGAGGACCTCAAGTTGATCAAAGGGCTCAAATCGCGCGTCAAAAAACTAGAGGATCTTCTCCATCAGCAGCAGTTTAAGAACTTGACAGGCTGGCCGGTGGTGAAGTCAAATGACGGGCAGCCCTCCGAAACCAAGGCAAGCTTGCTCTTGTCCAAGCCAAGAACAGACCTGGCCGTACACAACCCCATCAATCTTTTGCCAAAGACAGTCCCTCTGAGAAAGCCATCGCAAGAACTGGTGAGCGAGCTATCCAATCGCAAGTATATGGATGCCTCAACCACAATAGATAAGCATCTCGACAACATCCGGCTCCGGAGAGAGAACAGTGAATTGCGCGCGGCAGCGTCCGAGCTTGCCAGTCAAAACGGCTCTTTAAAGTCTGATCTTGAGGCGTGCCGCCAAACCTGCGAAGATTTGAAGCTGGAACATGAGGAGGTGAGGCTGGGGCTCGAAGAGCAGGTCGCTCTGACAAGGGCCGCGGCTGATGAAGAGAAATCTCGACACAAGGAAGAAACTGCATCACTCCAGAAAGCCCACGATACAGCAGTCGAGGAGTTGAAAACTCGCTTGGCCAGCCTCGAAAAAACTCTCGAATTGAAGCATTCCCAGAACTCAAGCCTCGAGTCGGAAATCGCTGTGTTGCGTGAGCGGCTCCAGCAGGAATCATCGGCAACATCCAAGGACAACGAGGCGTTGAGAGACGAGATTTCGACGTTGACTGCGAAGTTGAGCGACTTGCTGGTGATGAATGCCGAGCTTCTTTCCAACATGCAAGCCAAGGAGTCGGAGGTCAGCACGGAGCGGAGCGAAACGGAAAAAAGGACCAAGGACTTGGAATACAAGCTCGAGGAAAAAACAGAGGACTTCGAGCACTTGATGGAGATGACGCAGGGCAAGCTGCGGAGCATGGAGGAGCTTCTCACGGCCACCAACAGATGCATCCGGAGCCTTCTCGGCGGGGTGGGGGGACTTTTGGCGAGCCACGTGAAGTATTTCCATGACCTCTGTGTGATTTTGGAGTCCATGGGGCTTCTTCTAGTGCGGGAAGTGAACGGCGAGACTAAGCTCCCGGAGTTCCGGATCCGCAGGGTGAAGGGCTTGCGGTCTAAGAAGGACACCGACGGCAGCAGGCCCCACTTGGAGCGCACCCAGTCTACGGCAGTACAAGAGATCACAAAAGGATTTGAGTGGATTACGGGATTTGCCGAGCAGCAGATGCAGACCATAGAGCCGGGCGCCGGAGCAGAAGACGTTCTGGCGTCCGCCGAGGAAATCACACACGACCCCGATGCGCTCGAAGCCGAAACGCAGCAGCTCCTCCAGTTGTGTGAGACGTACGTTATGAGCAAGGGCGGGGCGGCGTCGAAGGTGTCCGAGTTCCTCGGCACCGTTGCCTTTGAGGAAAACGTGCAGCTCCAGGCCCATGAGGACGGCCGCGAGTTCTCCACAGACCGGTTCTTCCCCAACGGGATCATCAAGCGCTTCAATGACGTGGAGGGCTTTGCCAAGAGGTTGACGAAAGAGACCAAAGCCAAGAGCTCGGAGCTCGCCAAGGCCACGAAGCAGGCGAACGGCAAGGTCTCCGTGAAGAACTTCCAGGCAGGCGACTTGGTGCTTTTCTTGCCGACCCGCATCGAGCACGCCCACGACAACCGCGAGGCCGAGCCGGCCGTCACGCCATGGGCGGCTTTCAACATCGACGCGCCGCACTACTTCCTCGAGCTCGGCGACCGCGCAGACTCCATTTCCAGCGAGGAGTGGATCGTGAGCCGCATTGCCAGCATCACCGACCACGTGGTCACGGAGGCCAACGCACGGGACGCGGCGGCCAACCCGTTTGCGTTGAGCGTGGGCATCACGTGGCACATGATCCAGACCGAGTGACTCGGAGCTGCGCCCGCTGTGCCCGCTACGCCGGCACGTTGTTGAACAAGTACGACACGCTCTCGCCGTTGTGGAGGCGGCGGATGGCCTCGGCAAGCGTGGGGCTGATGTCCATCAACTCCAACTTGGAGCAGGCGGCGGCCTTGTCCGCGAGCGGAATGGAGTTGGTGCACACGATCTTGTCCAACTGCGACCGGTTCAACTTGTCCACGGCCAGGCCGGAGAAGATGCCGTGCGTGACCATGGCCACCACCTTGTTGGCGCCGTTGGCGAGCAACACGTCGGCCGCCTTGCAGAGCGTGCCGCAGGTGTCAGCAATGTCGTCGATCAAAATACAGGTCTTGTGCGACACGTCGCCCACCAACACCATCTTGGACACCTCGTTGGCCTTCTGTCTTTCCTTGTGGATCAAGGCAAACTGCACGTCGAGCATGTCGGCAATGGACGCCACGCGCTTGGCGCCGCCGGCGTCGGGCGACACGATGATCAAGTCGTCGCCGGCGTAGTGGTCGCGGATGTACCGCAAGGTCGACGGCTCCGCGTACAAGTTGTCCACGGGCACGCGGAAAAAGCCCTGGATCTGCGACGCGTGCAAGTCCATGGTGATGACGTGGTCACAGCCCGCCGTCTGCAACAAGTTGGCCACCAACTTGGCGGTGATGGGCGCCCGCGACTTGTCCTTCTTGTCCTGGCGGGCGTACATGAAGTTGGGCACGACGGCGGTGATGCGCCGAGCGCCGCCGCTTCTGCACGCGTTGATGATGAGGAGCAACTCCATCAAAAAGTCGTTGATCAGGCCGTATCCGGTCTGGATGATGTAGACGTCCTCGTCTCTCATGGACTCGCCCACGGCGACCGAGGTCTCGGTGTTCAGGTACTGGAACGCGCCCACCTTGGCGACGGGGATGGCCAAGCGCGCGGCGATGAGGTCCGCGAGCCCGCGGTGCAGATTGCCGGTGACAAGCTTGATGGAATTTGGCGAAGAGTGCATGGGTTGGTGGGCTGAAGAAAGACGGGACCGGCGCCGAAGAGCACGCCGCGGCGCACGTGCGCGCGGGTCACGTGCGCGGCCCCGGCCGGGCTAGGAAGCTGTTTATTGCGATGCACAGGCCTGCGGTCTGTGCGCTATATGCTCGTCCTTTCGTCGGACTGGGGAGGTGGTAGAAGTGAAAGCACTACGGTAGTGCCGGCGGTCTGTCGCAGACTAACGCCTGGCCACATCTGGGCAGAGCAATGGAGGCCGGGGCCAAGAATCTGGGCGGGCCTATGGGTGAGCCAATTTCTGACTGAGCCAATTAATGACTGAGCCAATTTATGACCGAGCCAATTCATGACTGCGCCAATTCATGACTGAGCCAATTCATGACTGAGCCAAAAAGACCGAGCCAATTCATGACTGCGCCAATTCATGACTGAGCCAATTCATGACTGAGCCAAAAAAGACCGAGCCAATTCATGACTGCGCCAAAAAGACCGAAGCAGACTGGGCCAATCTAGATGTCCGTGACACAGCCCTTGGACGCGTCCGTGACCAACTTGTAAAACTTGAACAACGTGCCGCGCTTGTACTTGGGCTCAGGGGCCACCCAGGCCTTTCTCCGCTCGGCCATGATGGCGTCGCTGACCAACAAGTCGATCTTGTTGCTCTCCGCGTCAATCACAATCTCGTCGCCGTCATGGACCAAGGCAATGGGGCCGCCCACCGCGGCCTCCGGCACCACGTGGCCTATCAAGAAGCCGTGCGAGCCGCCCGAGAAGCGGCCGTCCGTGATCATGGCCACGTCCTTGCCCAAGCCGTAGCCCATCAAGGCCGAGGAGGGCTTCAACATCTCGGGCATGCCGGGGCCGCCCTTGGGGCCCTCGTAGCGGATCACGGCCACGGTCTTCTCGCCCTTCCTGATCTCGCCCGCCTGCAAGGCCTGGATGAAGGCCTCCTCTTCGTCAAACACGCGCGCCTTGCCCTTGAAGTACGTGCCCTCCTTGCCGGTGATCTTGGCCACACACGAGCCGGGCGCCAACGAGCCCTTCAAGATCTGCAAGTGGCCCGTGCGCTTCAACGGGTTGGACAACGGGCGCACGATGTCCTGGCCCTTAGGCAAGCCGGGGAGCCGGTCCAAGTTCTCCTTGAGGGTCTTGCCGGTCACGGACATCTGCGAGCCGTCGAGCAAGCCCTCGGCCATCAACATCTTCATTACGGCGGGCGTGCCGCCCACGTACTGCAAGTCGGCCATCACGTACTTGCCCGAGGGCTTGAAGTCCGCCAACAACGGCGTGCTGTCGGAGATGCGCTGGAAGTCGTCCACGGTGATGTCGATGCCCACGGACGACGCGATGGCGATGATGTGCAACACCGCGTTGGTGGAGCCGCCCGTGGCGATGATGTACGTCATGGCGTTCTCGAACGCGCGCTTGGTCATGATGTCCTTGGGCTTCAAGTCCATGACCAACAAGTTCTTGACGGCCTCGCCCACCGAGGCGCACTCCGCGGCCTTTTCCTTGGACACCGCGGGCGCCGACGATGAGTACGGCAACGTCATGCCCATGACCTCGGACGCGGACGCCATGGTGTTGGCCGTGTACATGCCGCCGCACGCGCCCGCGCCCGGGCACGCGTTCTTGATCACGTCCACGCGCTGCTCGTTGGTGATCTGCTTGGACAAGTACTGGCCGTAGGACTGGAACGCGTTGATGAGGTCGATTTTGGCCGGGATTTCCGGCGTGGCGCCGCACAGCGGCGCGCCAGGGAGAATGGTGCCGCCGTACACCATGAGCGACGGGCGGTTGTGGCGGCCCATGGCCATGAGCACGCCGGGCATGTTCTTGTCGCACGACGGGATGGCCACGCTGCCGTCGTACATCTGCGCCATGATCAACGACTCGAACGAGTCCGCGATGATCTCGCGCGACTGCAACGAGTACTTCATGCCCTCCGTGCCGTTGGTGATGCCGTCCGACACGCCGATGGAGTTGAACTGCATGCCCTTCAACCCGGCCTTGTCGACCGACGCCGTGCACTGGTTGTTCAAGTCCATCAAGTGCATGTTGCAGGGGTTTCCGGACCACCACACGGACCCCACGCCGACCTGCGCCTTGGCCATGTCCTCGGACGTGAAGCCCGTGGCGTAGAGCATGGCCTGCGACGCGCCCTGCGACATGTCCTCGGTGACGATGGACGAGTACTTGTTCAACTTCTTCTGGAGCTGGCGGGCAGACACGCTGAACGCCCTGCTGCTGTGTGCGGCGGCAGACGCGTACCTGGAAACAGCCATTGTGGGTTTTCGTCTGTTTTGATGCGCAAAAGAGAGGTGTGGAAAAGCTGGCGAGAAGCAGGAGAGTGGTTTTTTGGGCCCAGCTCCGGCCGCTCGTTTTCGCGGCTGGCTCAACGGGGCGGTTCCGGCGGCGCGGGCGGGCGGCCCAATGGCGGTGCGAACGTTAGTCACAGGGCCGGGCTCGGAACCGCGCGCGCTGCTTGGGCCCTGCTCCAGGGCGAGGGGACCGGTGGGTTATTTCATGGCAGGCGGGAGGAAAAAATTGAGGGGATGGCTGAAGGGGTTTTGGTTGAGCAGCAGGTGGATTCCCGGTGGTCTTCTCATGTTTATTTCCTGAATGGGATGTTGGATTCTCGATTACTTATTAGCTGGATGCAGTTGGCTCGGTGCTACTCAACAATGGGCTGTAGTTGATGATTGAATGTAGTTGGATTCTCGGTTACTTAGTATTTGGATCCGCGGTGCTTCATGATAATTGAATGTAATTGGATTCTCGGTTACCTAATATTTGGATGTAGTTGGATTCTCGGTGTTACTTGATAATTGAATGTAATTGGATTCTCGGTTACTTAATATTTGGATGTAGTTGGATTCTCGGTGCTTCTTGATAATTGAATGTAATTGGATTCTCGGTTACTTAATATTTGGATCCGCGGTGCTTCTTGATGATTGAATGTAGTTGGATTCTCGGTTACTTAATTCGGTGTTACTTGATAATGAAATGAAGTTGGATTCCCGATGTCAATTAATATTGAATGGATCCTCGGTATTCCTCAAAAACCGGATGTGGTTGGCTCGGTGTTACTCAGTAATGAGTTGTAGTTGATGATTGAATGTAAGTGGATCCTCGCTGCTACTTGATAATGGATGTAGCTGGTTTCTCGATATTTCGAAATAAATCAAATGTAGTTAAATTCTCGGTGTTCCTCGCAGTATTGCGATTTATGAACTAAACCCAAAGTAGCCAAAAGGCTATAGCCAGAATACTTAAAAGCTAATCAGGTGTTGCATTTGAGTTATTGGGGCTTCGTATTGAAAAGAATAGGGTAGGCCGAGGGAGCCAGTGGTTTCAAGGGAAACCCATCTAGTCACTCATTGAACATTTTATTGAATATTGGAGAAGGATGTACTTGCCGGAGTGGTATCGAGTCGCTGGCTCACTAACGGACATTATAGATCAAGCGAGCTAATAATTGTTTAATAGCTGATGCAGAAAGCGAGTACGACAGACCGTACAGTTGCTTTGGGGATGGTTGGTGTCGGTAATTTATAGAAGCACTGAGTGCATAGATCAAGTGGGCCGATCGATCGACTGATTCACCGATTGACCGGTGATTTATGGAGTGGTTCATTCACAGTTTGAATGAAGATTCGACGCAATGACTGATATTTTGACGGGACAGTGGATTGAGTAATTGACGGTATGTCCGTGTACCTGGCTGTATATTATTGACTACGCGGATGGGGGAATAAGGGAGAAGTAAAAAAACTGGACGAATTGACGGAGATGAAGCGAACCCACCTAAGAGGCCTAGGCAGATGGTTGCGGGAGACTGAGGCAATTTGGTGGCGATGTCAAGAAGGAGCTTGATTAAAGTAGTGACTTGGGGTTGGGCTGGGAAAGCTGACTAAACACTAACAAAATACATAACTGAGGAAGCTTAGTAAACTATTCGAACCAAGGGTTCTATTTATTCCATTTGGAAATTTCATGAGGTTTTGAGTGGACAATGTAATTGAACAACCTTGTCAGCGATTGTAATTTAATCAAAACTCTTTGTCAACTAGCTAAATAATGATTAATTTCATTTAGTAAAGAGACTCGGGGATATTGTGAGTCAACCGACCAAGAAATTAATTGAGCTCCATACATAACTTCTCCCTGAGTACACCAAACCATCATTTCAAATGACCCAATCGATGTTTAGTACATCACCGAGATTCTCAAGGTATACAGTCAGAGATGCAGCAAGTCACAGAAGACTCTTGAGTCATTTTTAGTCCAGGTCGAGTCGACTACAGGAGACACTTCCTTGCATTATAATTATTTACGTAAACCGAAGCATACCAAGAGTGACTGCCCAAATCAGATAAACAACGTGGGTCCTCTTTTGGAACCACCAATTTGAGAAGCTACACTATTTTCATCATTATATTTCTCAATCAATTGGGGCTGTCAAATTAGAATAGGTTGATCGGGATTCTCCTTTGGGGATTTTGTGGGAACTCAATTTTACAGAGTATTCAATGTTTTGATTCAGTGCCTTAGCTGGGGAAGTTTATGCTGATTGAGAAGCCCATTGAACGACTTGGTATTGATCGAATGATTGGTTAAGTGCACTTCCCTGGGAAATTTGAGACTACTTGATATTTGACCTGGAAAGTGAATTAAAAGATCATTCCGTAAAACTACTTCCGAAAATCGGAGAGCTTAGCAATTGACTGGGAAAGCGACTGAATATTGATTGTGTAACTGACTGGATAATGATAAATCTGGTGGGGTGCTGATTAAAAACTGATCTAGAGTATTGCTCTGTTTCCATAAACACCGGTTTTTGAAGTAAGCTGTATTTCGTGAGAGGTCTGGTCCAATTTTGTCAGGCCCTGAGAAGCTTGAAGAGAGGAAAACCAAATATATTTTCTCTCAATACCTAAGAAAACCACCGAGAGACAGATAAATGCTGATTTTGGGTAGTCGTTGATCTCCTTTTCAAATGAAGTCAAGCCGCAATACTGCGGACTTTCTTGCCAAAAGATCCAACATTTCCCTTATGATACTTGTCTCGTTTAACAAATGTAATAATACTGATTTTGGCTGATTTCTAATAATGGAGATAATAGGAATGGACAAAGCCTCAGATTTAGTGCCCTGGATAAATGATCATGCGATTGAGACTCTAGTAAGTACTTTAATTGCAAAACTCAAAACAAGCCAAATGCAAAGCCCACCCCGCAAGTTGTGCTTTGGCTAGAGAGGCATTTAAATCTTATAAATCCAAAGGCTTTGGTTTGACTAGAAAGAGGTTTCAGAGGTGTTTTTCAGTCCACTTCCAAGTACCCAATCTCATTCCAGTATTTTGGAGCCATTCCAGAAATTCTGAAATACTAGACACCATATGTGTTCAGAAAACCATACATTGATATTTCCGACATCACATATCGTGCCACGATGAGTACTCCTTTAAATTTTCAGGTTATATCGGAATCTAGTGGCTCGTCTGCTCAAGGGTCTGACGGCTCATATAATCAAGGAAATAAAGCTCAAATACTTCAGTGTTCCTCGTGCGGATGATGATTCCAGCGATATATGGCCTCATATTAACTCGAATAAGCCTCCTTACTTTTTTTTGTCCGGCTTGTCCAAAAAGTGTGGGAAGTTGGATGTGATTCCGGATTCATCCTATTAATTGAGGGGCTGATCCGAAGGTGAGTGCGTGAGGCAAAGCTAGTAGAGATTTTCCCAATTCATGCACCCAAACCAGTCTGTTTTTTGCCGATTTTAAGGAGATAGCTTGGCAAGGCTTTTCTCGTTTCGGTAAAAGGTACGAAGCAAAATATATTGGCGTTGTGTATTTTTCCATGTTCTTTGAAGTGATTTCATATTTGCACTCCAACGGAATAGTACTTGTTATATTGCAATGCTTTGCTCACATTTTGGCAAATGTTAAGAATTGCTCAATAAGCAAGGTTTTTAGCTGCCTGATAGATCTCAAGATTCAATCCTCGTCATGTTTCTGTATGTCATGACAGCCATGTCCTTTTCGGGGAGACATTGAATGGCTTTGTCTTACTAGTGGGCAGCCCGAGAACGGCCCTTTCTGTCTTGCAGGATAAACACACCTTTCGTATCTTTGAATAAACTTTTTAACATGTATCTACAAATAAAAAAAAAGCCTATTTGTAACACGGCTCTTGCAGGATAAGACAGCAGCCGTGTTTTAGTAGCAATGCCAGCAGTTCCACGAGCTGCAAGCCAACACCATGGCTCGCTTATAAGTGACCACCGGAAGCCCTGCTCAGAACTTCGCCTAGAACGTATGATTTTAGTAAACGGTTGAGTTTTCGCAGGTCTGCCGGCCGCATTTCTTTTTCCACGGCCCCAAAAACCCAGCCGGTCCATACGGGGCCTAAACTAAGCCTATTGGCTTATGCGAGCTGACTCTTAATTGCTCACCGCGACGTGGTGTGGCATGAGCCAAGCACATTTGCAATTCCAGCGGATGCATGACAAAGGCCAGATTTATCTTCTCCGGCCATCACAAGATTTACTGCACCATTTTGGAACGTCGCCAGTCCAACGCCACACAAGCAAATATGGCGAAGGTGCGCCGGGCCTTATCAGAGGTGTCCTGACTAAGCGCAATGCACAGATGACATGTCTTGCGCGCTTCTACATTCGAAGAAAAAAGAACCCAGCCATATCAGTGCAAGAGAAAACACCCCATCTCTCATCACCCGCAATCTTCTTGCGTCATACCCCATTCACAACACCAAAGTCCCCAGCCCTAAAAAAAATGTGCCAATCCTGTGAGGCAGCCCTGCAGCCCGTTGAGCCCTCTGGTTTCACCAAAGTCAGCGAAGACTCGCACAGGCTGAGCGAGGCCATCAACTCCAATCCATATGGTCCCAACCCGGCAGACTTCCTCTCGAACGTGCTGAGCTTTGAGTTGATCGAGTCCACGTTAAGAGAGGGCGAGCAGTTCGCCAATGCGTTTTTCACCACGGAGACCAAGATCCAGATCGCCAAGGCCTTGGATGACTTTGGCGTGGAGTACATCGAGTTGACGTCGCCTGTGGCCTCCGAGCAGTCAAGACGCGACTGCGAGGCCATCTGCAAATTGGGGCTCAAGGCCAAGATCTTGACCCACATCCGCTGCCACATGGACGATGCCAAGGTGGCGGTGGAAACCGGCGTGGACGGCGTGGACGTGGTCATTGGCACGTCGCTGTTTTTGCGCGAGTTTTCCCACGGCAAGGACATGACGTACATTGCCAAGTCGGCCGTCGAGGTCATCGAGTTTGTCAAGCTGAAGGGCGTCGAGATCCGCTTCTCATCCGAAGACTCGTTCCGCTCGGACTTGGTGGACTTGCTCAATATATACAAGACCGTCGACAAGATCGGCGTCAACAGAGTCGGAATTGCCGACACCGTCGGCTGCGCCAACCCCAGACAGGTGTACGAGCTTGTGCGGACTTTGAAGTCCGTGGTCTCCTGCGATATCGAGTGCCACTTCCACAACGACACCGGCTGCGCCATTGCCAATGCGTACACTGCGTTGGAGGCGGGCGCCAAATTGATCGACGTGTCTGTTTTGGGCATTGGCGAGCGGAACGGCATCACGCCCTTGGGCGGCTTGATGGCCCGGATGATCGCCGCGGACAGGGCGCACGTGTTGCTGAAGTACAAGCTCCACAAGTTGAGGGATTTGGAGAACTTAGTAGCCGAGGCCGTGCAGGTGAACATTCCGTTCAACAACCCCATCACTGGGTTCTGTGCGTTCACACACAAGGCCGGCATCCACGCCAAGGCCATTCTTGCCAACCCCTCCACGTACGAGATCTTGAGCCCTTCGGACTTCGGCCTCACCAGGTATATCCACTTTGCCAACAGATTGACCGGCTGGAACGCGATCAAGTCTCGTGTTGACCAGTTGAATTTGCACTTGACTGACGAGCAGTGCAAGGAGGTCACGGATAAGATCAAGAAGTTGGGCGACGTGAGACAGTTGAACATCGACGATGTCGACTCTATCATCAAGGATTTCCACCAGAACGTGTCCATTCCCAGCTTGGACCCCGATGCTGTTGTGCTTGCCTAGGACAAGCTCTGCATCTAGTCACCAAGAATAATAAATAACCATGTTAAGAAACCACATGTGTCACCTACGTAGACTTGAACCACCGTGGCCCGTATCGAAAGGTACTCGAGGCCCTCTCACCTACTGGACGTGAACTTGGCTCTTCCTGCATTTTTCATTTTCATTCCCCATCCTCGTCGAACTGATCAGCCTCGTCCTCCATGTCCTCGTCGTCACTCGCTTCAGCTTGCACAGCATACTTTTTCCTTTGGAAGTCCTTGATGTGTGCCTTGTTCAACACATTGGCTATGTTCGAGAACGTCGATTTGCGCCTCTCACGTGTGCGTGACTGCTCCGCCGGAGAATGGCCAATGCTGCTTTCGTCCCCTTCAGCTCTTCTAAAGGTAGTCGAGCTTTCCTGCGGAGCATAGGGAATCTCAACATTGTCGCTGGAGTAATTTTCGTCAGAGAACTTCTCCTGGGAATGATACCTCAAACTAACCAATTTGTTAATCGCTTTCTCCACTTTAGCTGACACCATATAAGGCAATGGTAAGTCCCTAGATGCCCGGAACATAACGACATTGGCACAATGCTCATTCTCCAATCTGAAGAACATCCATATGAAGCGTCTCAATAGTTCAGCAAGCGCAATGCAGAAACTGGTTACGGCCAGCTGTTGGAGCTGCGTGGAGAAGAACGCGTAAAAGATCCACTGGAACCGCAACACCACGTTCACCACCATCGCCACGTAGTAATAAATAGGGTTCCCGTAAAATAAATTATCTCGAAGTAAGTAATTCTCCGAAGTAGTTTGGCCCAACGACCAGTCCATGACAATATCCCAAATGGAGCAGACGATCGAATTGACACACGCGAAGGTTATGAACGTGCTTCGAGCTGAGTTCGTCTGCTCAATTCTCCAGACACTGAGTAAACAATAGTAAATTGTGCTGATCGAGTACTTTGCCATATTAGCCAAATGCGGAAATGCATCCCCCGTGTCCATGTAACGGCGCATACACTGTAGAAAACGCCAGATCGACGGAAGCGTGGCGAGGAAGCCCATCAGCCGTGAGCTCCCGGATCCACAACGTTCGCTTGAATCAGGGATGATACCTCCGCCCAAAACATGCCTCCATTTGTCGGCATACAAGCAAATAAAGAACGAGAGATTGCTCATGCTATAAGTCAAGGAACAAAGAACATCGCCCATATAGAAGTCTTGGAACTCCACGGGATAAAACCCAGAACAGAAAAGCCTCCAGAGAGCTACTTGCAACCAGCGTCTACTGGCTGGATAGAGCTGCGCACCTGGCCAAAGAAAGATAGCGAGAACACAAAAAAGATAGATGAGGGGCCAGACTCTTCCCGGGAGCTTGTCGGGCCAGAAGTCCAGGAAGGAGAGCCACGCAAAGGAGCAAAGAAGGCCGAGGCCCACGCTAGGAAGGAGAAAAAACTGCCGGTAGTCTAATGTGTTTGCCAAGTTGAATTCGAAGATGAACTTGTAGTTGATCTTGAAGTGCGAGTAGGCGATGAAGTTGATACCAATGAGAAACATGCTCAAGTTAACCAAAAAAAATCCGCCCCAGATTTGCAACATGTATTTGCCTTCCAACAATGCGCGAGACAAAGTACGACTCAAAGCAATGAAGAGTCCGATCCCAAGAAAGGGGAGAGCAATTCCTGTGAAAAGACCTGACAGAAAAGATGCCTTATAGTACGATTCAGCCCGAATGTCGGAGTTATTATAGGCGTAGGTGGCACTTCTGAGCTTTTCCAAACCGCGCTTTCTGTCGTTTCTCTCACTATCGAAAAAGGTGAGGAAAATGTCCTCTACTCGAGTCAGAACCTGGTCCAAGGTCTCGCTAGTCTGGAAGTAGGACTCCTTGTCGACTTTGTCCATAAACGTGCCAGATATAGAGAGCCCTGTGGCTTTGTCGAATTTTTTGGTGATTTTACGGAAAGCAGTCCGGTTCATCGTGCGGTATGACCGAATCAAAGCAATTGACCGGTAATGCTCCACCAACGCATCCTTCAATTGTTTTCTGGCATAGTAGTACGGGACGCCAAAGCGCTTCTTGGTCACATAGTCTCTGCGGCGCTCACGGCGATCCTGGTGTTGCTGAGCGGCATGCTGAGGGTTCAGCGATATTTGCGCCGTGGCTTCAGATTGTGCTCTCCCCTTGATGGGCGGCAATACCTGGGCCGATTCCAAGCTGAAGACCAGCTCGTCATCAAACTCACTATCCAAAACCAACTGACCATTCCGGATCTGGTTTTCGCGGTAGTGGAGGTCGTATTCCGAGCTCCTCAGGGTCAGTTCTAGCAGATGGACGTCCGACTCGCTTTGAGGCAGGAGCTTGTCAAGAAATGCCACCGAGGGAAGCGAGGGAAGATTGTACCTCGAGAGAGGCCGCAACACAGATTTCAAGTAGATGGTCCACCGGGACAAAGTCACGTTCACGGGTTCTGTGATATGCTTGTTGTGCTCGGCCTCCACCATGTCGTTCGAGGCACGGAGCAACGTAGCCTTGTGTTCTTTCAAGAGAAAAAACTGGTCCTCAAGAAACAAGAACCGCGCGTAGATCTTTTGCTCTTTCCGCTTGTAGAAGCCGTCCACCATGAAAAGCTCGTGGTCTAGCCACTGCATGAAGTTTTGTTTCTCGTCTTGAAAAGCTTCACTGGGCGACTTGGAAAAACGCCGCATCAGGCTTTTGACAGATCCCTTGACGGAGCTGATGATTGGCAGCTTGGAATCGGATTTGACGCCTGTTTTTGGCGGAGCATAGAGAGACGTCTGCCGTGTTTCATCCTCGGACTCTGCATTTTTCCCGCGACTATCTAGACCTCTACTGTGGAGCTCCTGGTCGTTGGGAAGGCTTTCGGGATTTTCATGTGCCGAATCTGCCACATACGTTTCCTCAGCGTGTGTTGGATTGAGCAATGGCGTGATATCCGATGGGATTTGTGGCGCAAGCTGGTCCATAATGAGCGCTATAGACTTGATGCATTTCTTGCCATACTTGTAGTCAACATACTGTTCCTTCCACTCGGGAACAAGTCCGTCGCTTAGCGACTCGCCAAACTTCATGTTGTGTCGCCGGGTAATATGAGATCGTGAGTGCTAGTGAGCTGAAGAAGTGTAAAACAAACCTAGTCAATTTTTCGCGCGGAGGAACAAAAAAAGTTTGTTTGCGGTTCGGAGTCAATTAAATTCAATCCGGTGCGGGCCGACCTTGACCTTGTGGACCGGATCCAGTGGGCCCATGTTCGAGTTTGTGGGTGTGATTTTGAAATCCCGTGACTAGCGGACTGAGACCCTGGGTGTGCACACAGGACATTCATATCCGGTCAGGCGGAAGCCGCACGTGGCATCTCATGCGAGGCCAAACGCAATATGCAGATGCCTCGTGGCGAGTGAATACCGTGCGGGAATAAGTATGAAATAATTCTTCACGCATTGACGGCTGATCTCATGGGTTCGGAGCACAGGCGCGAGTTTACACTGTAATACAATGAAACTTCCATTTCGAAAACCCTGCACTGAATTAGCTATGGCGAACACAGCATTGCAGTAGATATGTTGACAACCTTGCGAACGCTTGTTTCATCATCGATGCTTCCACAATCCATGCGAAGAGCAGACATTGGCCTTGAATCAGACTCGAAGTGGCGCGGCTCTCTCAGACAGGATGTCACCTGTGCTCATGCAGCAGAGAGTCTCAAATGACTTTTCCAAGCTACAGTACCAGTTGAGTTCCTTCGACATAACATACTCTTAGTTTGCCTCTCTCACGACTCGTACCTGACATACAACGCATCTATAAAGTGTCGGTGCTTAATGCCCGGGCTTTTCGCCGCCCTAAAGCCGTCGACCGCCTCTCGAACGCTCCACCCGAGTCTTTCAATCAAGTAGCAGCAGATGAGAAACCCAGTGCGGTTGAACCCGTAGTGGCAGTGAACAGAGATAAGCGGATTCACCACTTCCGTGGATGCCAAAATGTCGTCTATGAGCTGTATGAACCGCCTCACCGCGCTTTGGTCCGGTGCCACTTTTGACACTGTGGCACATTTATAATACTTGATGTGCTTGAAAGATTTCGATGAGTACGGTGGAATGTCTGCGGAGATATCCACAATGGCAATGAGCGTGCCTTCTACCTTGACGCCTTCTTCAAGAACACCGCCGGCCTCATAGAAGATCCGTTCAATCTGTTGGGGGGAATGTTTCTGGTCCTCTTCGCGTAAGGTTTTCATGCCTAGAAGTGGAGCTACGTCGGAGCCGTTTTTGCGCGTGATGTTGAATGAGATGCTTTGAGTTTTGAGCCACTTGAGCTCGTTTTTTAAACCCCACTTGTCGCCCGAGATATCAGCCTTCAACTTTAGCACCCATGCGGGCGACAAGTGGAGGCGCTCAGGGAATTTCAGCTCCAAATGGTCCAATATGATGCCACTGATGAATTCCGGCTTGGCGAGGAGCACGGAATGACCTGCATTCTTGACCATAGTCGTCTGGACGACCTTTCTGCCCCAATGGCTCAAAAGAACCGCACTGACATCGTCGAGAATCGACACTGGTGTCACGGTGTCCTCGAGTCCGCCTATCAAGAGCGTCTTTTCGTAAGCACGTGGGTCGCTGGGGTTGTCGTTAAAGCGAGAGACTGCGTCTATGAGCTCCAGGTATTTGCACGCAGAAAACCCGTTCACGTATCGCAAGAGCACGCGAGTGTCGATGTCCAAGTTCCACCGGAACTGGCGGAGCCTCATGTAGAAGCTGCTGTCGCGTGGAAGCTGGCGAATCACGCTTTTGCTGGCGAGCCCTTCGAGCCGATCCCAAACGCGGAACCAGTCGAGCAAAAATGGGAATTGGGTGAAGAACAGAAGGAGCCAGAGGGGCCTGTGTTTGCGTGTGGTAGTGGGTGGGTTTGCGGCGATATCGTCGGCGAACTTAGGTGGCGAGAGAAGCACGAGGCCTTCCACACGTGCACGGTCTAGGCTGCGAGCTACCTTCACCAGCAAGTGCGTGCCCATGGAATGGCCCACGAGGATGAGCTTCTTGTCTGCTGGAATGTGCTGGCGCACAAATTCGACAATGATCCGGGCAATGTTCTCCGAGGAGAAGTCCAGCCACAGCATGCTGCGCACCGAGGCCGCGATGGCTGCCTGGTCCTCGGGCGCAAGCAGACAGTACTGCGTGGGCGTGAGCCGCGAGTCGCCAAAGCCGGGCAAGTCCAAGGCGTAAATCTCCAGGCACTGCAGAAGCAAGCCCATGACGGGCTCGAACTGCGACATCTGGCCGCCCATGCCGTGGACAAAAAGCACCACCGGCAGCTCTGCGACCTCGCGCGCCATTGCTGCGGAAAGCGGGCTGGCTTTAGCAAAGCCCACGAGTGGGTGTGGCGCATGGAGCGTGTGCAAGGTCACGGTGTCAACCGACAACGATGCCACGCTGGCGAGGTTGACAGTGGCGACACGCGAGTACTTCGCCACAAAGGCACAGTCGTTGCGTTCAGAGGCCACGACTGCGTGCTCAAATGCATTGGGCACACGGCCGAGGACGGTCTTTAGGAACGCCCAGGTTTTCTTCCAGAGAGTGCTGGTGGCTGCGAGCTGGTGGCGGTCCAAGGCCCGGAGGCCCGCCTCAGAGACCACGGTTGGGGGCTCGGGCGTGGGCGGGGCGGTTTTTTCGAGCAGCGTCATGGCGGTGGGGGGCGTCGCGATATGTGTGAGATTCCACGCTGGGACCCTGTGTTTTTTTTTTTGTGTTTTGATGGAAACTGCGGAACTGGCACTCTGGGTGTGTTTCGAGAGGTGCTGGGCACGGGCCGTGTTTGGAGCCCAGCGCGCGAGTGATGTAGGGCCGCGAGTAGTTTGGTGCCGCGTATTATAGGGCCGCAAGGGAGTATGGGGCCACGAATCCTAGCGCCGCGGCCATAGGGCCGGCATGGCGCACCCGAAGAAATGGAGCGAGCATCGGTCCGCGCGACTCGGCTCACGTGACTTGGGGCGAAAAAGGCCGGGGCATATGGGCTGCAAATCTGGCCCCCCGGCGCGTAGACGGGTCTGCTCCTTGGACCCAGAATCATAAGCTCCACCCAATATGAATCAAAAACTCGACGTGAAACTAGCCATGGAACAAGCTGCGTTTCTAGGGCCCACTTTTTCAGGATTTGGGCATCGTCTACATTCTGTTCAGTCTTTTTCGACGAGAAGTACTTGTTCATTTTGACCGCGCGGGTTTTCAGGTCACCGCCCCAGGGGTCGTGTCCCGACCAAAACAGGCGTTTCGTGGAGTGCTGGCCCAACTGGTCCCAGCGCGCATGGGCTGCAAATTTCTGGCTCTAAAGGGCGGCTCTAAAATAGACAAGATGGATCTGAAAGAACCACGGCCTTCTTCTGCAAAACACCGATTTTCTCGGAAAAGAAGGATTCATCCCTGGCTTTGAATGTGTCCTCTTTTTTGTGCGTGTGCATTTCTCTTGAATCTTTGGTAATTAGGGCTGGCTCTAAGTTCTGGTGCTAAGTGTTGCCGAGAAGGGGCACTGTAAACACAAGGCTCGAGTTTTGTAGGGCGCCAGAAGCAGGAGATCAAAGGGGTTTTTTTTGATTTCGCGTCAATTGGCTGTCTGCCTAGGGCTTGTAAAGAGAGTGAAGAAAAAGAGCGCAAGTGCAGCGGAATGACTGGCGAGCAAACAACGGTAGGAGCGCTGAAGATACATGAGACAACCAGGCGAAGCAGAAAAGAGACAAGAGATGAGATGAGGGAAGAGATAAAGAGGAGGAGGCAAAAAGAAGGAGGCAAGATAAGATAAAGGAAGCAAGATGAAGTAAGAGATAGGATGAAGGAAGAGACAGGATGAAGGAAGAGACAAGATGAAGAAGGAGACAAGATTAAGGAAGAGACAAGAGAAAGAAAGATACAAGATTAAGGAAGAGAAATTTTCAAAGCAAGAGATTGTCAAGCGAAGAGACATAGTAAAGGAAGAGACAAAAAGAAAGTGATATGATAAAGGAAGAGACGAGATCAGATGAAGAAGGAAACAAGATCAGATGAAGGAAGTGACAAGATGAATGAAGAGACAAGATAAAGTAAGAGCCAAGCATAAAGTAAGAGACATGATGGGGAAAGAGACAAAATGAAGAGGGAGACATGACTAAAGGAAGAGAAATTATTCAAGAATGTGAAAAAAGAGGAAAACATGATAACGAAAGAGACATGATAAAGGAAGTGACAAAAAAGCAAGAGTCAAACATAAAGTAAGAGATATGATGGGGGAAGAGACAAGATGAAAGAGAAGATAAGATGAAGTAAAAGACTTAATTGAAGGAAGAGACATCATCAAAGGAAGAGCCAAACACAAGAAACAGACATACACAAGAAACAGACAAAGACAAAAAACAGACAAACAAAAAACCAGACAGACACAAAGCCAGAAAAACACAAAAAACAGACAAACACTAAAAACAGACAGGAAAGCCCGATGTCGAAATCGTGCCTCCAGTCTCTTCACTGCTGCCCTGGCCCTGGGCCCGCGCCCTCCATGGCACCGCCTGCGGCTATGCGCGCACCAGGCCCGGCGCCCGAGCCTCGTCTATACCGAGCCGTCAAGACCTGGCCGTTTTCCACCAGCCCGTCACCCCCTGCCTGCCCGCTCGATACCCCTCAAAGCAGGCGTCTTGCATCCACAGAAGCACACCGGCCAACCGAGCCCCTTTCTGGACACCAAAAAAGACCCCACTTCCGCAGCCCTCCTCATGCTAGGCAAATCAGAGCCCGCCAAGCTGCGCAGCCTGTCGCCACAAAGCCCCAGCTCCTCGGAAGAGGACTTTGAAAACTCGCTCGACTCCGCGCTTCGTCTGGCATCATCCAGCTACTTCCACTGGGCCGGCCGCCGCAGCTCGCTGGCGGCGTCCCTGCGCCTGGGATCCGGGATCCTGCTAGCGACGCTCCAGGCGACCCGAGAAAACGGCCTGCAGCCGACCCTTTTCGCCGACGACGACGCAAGGCTCAGCCACGGCTGGGACTCTGACGGAGCATCGCTCCTTGGTGAAACTGCCGCCCCCAGCCGCCCCAGCTACCACCTTGGAACTCGCATATCCCCAGCCCCCGGAACCGGCCGCGTGGCCACACGCTACGCGCCCGTATCCGTGACCCGCCGGCTCCGTGCGCTCTTGCGCTCACTGCTCGGGCTCTACCGGTTTGTGCGCAGCGAGTTCTCGCGGGAATGGCGGCAACAAGCGGACCTCCAGCGTCACGCCGAGCTCCAACAGCAGCACGAATACTCCCAGGACGAGTCCCACGAGACAGGCGCCGCGGGCGCCGAGCGGCTCGTGCTGCCGCGGAATGCGCGGCAGAAGGCCTTGGTGCTGAACGCGGTGCTGAACGCAAAGTACAACCCGGTGACGTTCGTGCCGGTGATTCTCTACGAGCAGTTCAAGTTCTTCTTTAACTTGTACTTCTTGCTCGTGGCCCTCTCGCAGGCGGTGCCGCAGTTGCGCATCGGCTACTTGTCGTCGTACATCGTGCCGTTGGCGTTCGTGTTACTCGTGACCATGTTGAAGGAGGCCGGCGATGACATCGCGCGCCGCCGCCGTGACATCGAGCAGAACAACGAGCAGTACGAGGTCTTGAACCGCTCCTTCTCCTTGGGCCTGGATGTGGCGAGCGTGCCCCTGAAGAACTTAAAGGTCGGCGACTTGGTACGCCTCCACAAGGATATGCGCGTGCCCGCGGACTTGGTGCTTCTCCACTCTTCTGACCCCAACGGCGAGGCTTTCATCAAGACAGACCAGTTGGACGGCGAGACTGACTGGAAGCTCCGTGTCGCGTGTCCTGCCACACAGAAGGCCGCCGACTCTGCGCGCCTCGTCGACAACGTGTCGCTCGTCGTAGCCCCGCCGACAAAGTCCATCCACAGCTTCCAGGGCAAGTTGGTGTACCGCGACTCTTCTGGGATCGAGAGCACCGTGCCATTGACCGTGGACCAGACGCTCTGGGCAAACACGGTGCTCGCCTCTGGGACCGCCGTCGGCATTGTCGTGTACACCGGAATCGAGACTCGCCAGCTGCTCAACACAACCATGTCCGGCGTAAAAACGGGGCTTCTCGAGATTGAGATTAATAGCATCTCGAAGATTCTATGTGTCACGGTATTTATTCTTTCGGTGGCGCTCGTCCTTGCCCAGGGGTTCCCACCGAGCGGCACGTGGTACATCGATATCTTGCGTTTCCTTATCTTGTTTTCCACAATCATTCCTGTATCGCTCAGGGTCAACCTTGACTTGGCAAAGTCCGTCTACGCATCGCAGATCCAAAAGGACGCCGACATTCCGGGCACGGTTGTCAGAACTTCCACCATCCCTGAGGACTTGGGGAGAATCGAATACTTACTCAGTGATAAGACAGGTACGCTCACACAGAACGACATGGAGATGAAAAAGTTGCATTTGGGGGCGGTCTGCTACGCGGGCGAAACCTTGGACATCGTTGCCGAAAACGTCGGCAAATTGCTTTTAAGTGAGCTGACAGGCTCGTCTTTGAAGCGCAGAGACTTGGCTACAAAAGTTTGTGATTTTGCACTAGTGCTTGCTTTATGCCATAATGTGACGCCCTCTGAGGAAGACGGTGCGATTTCATACCAAGCAGCCTCACCCGATGAAATTGCTATTGTCAAATTCTGCGAGCAGATCGGACTCAAATTACTAAAAAGAGACAGACACTCCATTACGCTTCTACACTCAGCCACGTCCCAAGAATTGCATTTCGACATCTTATACAATTTCCCATTCAACTCCGACACCAAAAGAATGGGCATCGTAGTTAAGGATGTACAGAAAGATGAGGTCTGGTTTATGGAAAAAGGCGCCGATACTGTGATGACAAAGATTGTCAACAGCTCTGACTGGTTGGATGAGGAGACTTCAAATATGGCCCGCGAGGGTTTGCGCACTCTCGTTATTGGCCGCAAAAGATTGAGTGTTTCTGGTTTTCAAGAGTTTGCTAACGAGTACGAAAAGGCATCTTTGTCGATGCATGAACGTGACGTGAATATGCAAAGGACTGTTGCACAATACCTCGAGACAAATGTCGAGCTTCTTGGGCTCACTGGTGTCGAGGACAAGTTACAGAAGAACGTCAAGACGTCTATCGAACTCTTGAGAAACGCAGGTGTAAAAATTTGGATGTTGACTGGAGACAAAGTCGAAACCGCCAAGTGTGTGGCAATCAGCGCCAAATTAATTTCGAGGGGTCAGTTTGTTCACCAAATCACCAAGGTGACCAACCCAGACATGGCCATGAGCCATCTTGACCAAATCACAAATACGTCAAACTCAGTCTTGTTGATAGACGGTGAGTCATTGGCGGTGTTTATGAAGTATTTCAGCAAGGAATTCTTCGACATGTGTATCTTGCTTCCTGCCGTCATCGCTTGTCGCTGCACGCCTCAACAAAAGGCCGACATAGCGTTGGCGATCAAGAAAGCAACAGGCAAGAGGGTATGCTGCATTGGAGATGGAGGAAATGATGTGAGTATGATTCAGTGCGCCGACGTGGGAGTCGGAATTGTTGGCAAAGAAGGAAAACAAGCCTCCCTTTCTGCTGATTTCAGTATTGATCAGTTTCACTTCTTGCTGAAACTTTTGCTATGGCATGGAAGAAATTCTTACAAGAGGTCTGCAAAGTTAGCGCAGTTCATCATTCACAGAGGATTGATTATTTCTGTTGCACAAGCCATCTATTCGATATCGTCCAGCTTTGAGCCTCTTGCCTTGTATCAAGGATGGCTCATGGTCGGCTACAGTACTCTTTACACAATGGCACCAGTGTTTTCCTTGACGCTTGACCAGGACGTCGACGTGAGACTCACGAAGTTATACCCCGAATTGTACAAAGAGCTTACTTTGGGCAAGTCCTTGTCATATAAAAGCTTCTTCATGTGGGTGGCGATCTCGCTCTTTCAGGGTAGTGTGATCCAATTGCTTTCGCAGGCATTCCAGACTTTGGATGAAGAGAAGTTCAAAGCCATGGTCAGCATTTCATTCACAACGTTGATTCTTAATGAGTTGGTTATGGTGGCATTCACGATTCGCACGTGGAACAAGATGATGTTCAGTACCATAGTCATCACATTCATGATTTACGTGTTGCTGGTTCCGTTTTTGGATGAATACTTCGATCTGGATTATATCACGTCCGTGTCATTTTGTTGGCAAGCAATGATCGTTCTCGTCACGAGCCTTCTTCCTGTTTGGCTCTTGAGAACATTGAACCGGAAATTGAGGCCCCCCTCGTATGCGAAAGTCCAACAGCATTAGGGCTATTGTCGAAATTGAATGGTGCAAAATTCTCACAACCAAGAGCAAACTCCGATGACCGGAGCTGAATTGAAGGCGGTGTTTGCGCGATTCACGCAAAACAGAGCTTGGCCCAGGAAATGAATGCTGGGATACAGGCTATACGAAAACAAGCGCCCAGACGTGTCCCAACAAGTGAGGACGCGCGCGCCGGTGGCACTGCGGTTATCCCCAACGGCGCAGTTATGCAGATAACCACTGATTCCTCACGCGATCCTACTAAAAAAAGAACAACTAAAAAAAGAACAAAGCAATTCGAGGGAGCCCCAAACACAATAGTTCTTGGGCAAAATTCTTGATAGGTGGATGGTTTGCACGCGCGGGGCATTTCATTGGGGTGCCGTTCACGCACGATTGAGATCTGATGCGTTAAAGCGTAAACCACATTCCCCGCGATTTCGCCGGGCTTATTGTTTTTCCTTCATCTGCCAAATACGCAGCCCCCCTTATCTAAACCATTTGATGCGCTCACCCGAGGAGCAGCCCAGGGAAAACAAATGCGCCCAAGGGTGGAGATGACTCTGCTGTCGGCTGTCATATTTCGCACGCCAGCTTGGAAAGTTCCCAGGAACGCAGGAAAAAGAAGAAACCCGTATGGCGCAGCGGGACCCAGCCCAAACGGCTATACGAGGCGAGCCTCAGACCATGAGGTCTCCTGCACAGCGCTCCTGTCCAAAGAAGAAAAGAGGAAAGGGTTACTGCGGCTGCGACAAGGAGTGCATATTTGCGATCATGTAATAGTGGCACGATTTTCCCAGGCGACCATAAAAGCCCGGGGTAAACCGCTGCAAATACTGCCGGTCCGCTCAAAAACCACCGCCCTCTCATCGCCACTTCTGTTGGTTCCATCGCTTGCTCAAAGACACACCCAGCCTTCCAATACTCGCTAATGTACGCCGCCGTCACGTCGAAAACCTCCGTGCTCACCCTTGGGTATTTGACGGTGTCCACAATGGTGCCTTTTGTCTTGTCGTACAAGGAGACACAAGGCAACTCCGTGTACACGAAAGGATACATCAGCAGCAGATCCTTGTTCAACAAAATCTAAGTGGACCACCCGCGCTGCCCAAAGAATAATATTAGATAGCATGGCACAGAGACCGTGTTTCTTCGGGAAGGATACGCCTGCGGATATCCGAGGGGGGCCGGCTGGCCAATGGTAGTTACGCTGGATGTGCTACATATAATAATACGAAAATTGCTATCTTCTTGCAGTGGCTGGCGGGGGAAGGGAGGGTACGCCGGATGGACCGTGGCCGACAGGTTTCTTGTGGACCAGTGTCTGGAACACGACCAAAGGTCTGTCGAAAGACAAGAGCCCGCCCACATATGCTTGGCTCGCCGCATCCCGCTTCCCCGCTGGCTACACGCTCGCGTAGACCGTAGAACTCCGCTCGATTGCCTCGTTTGGAAGAAGACCTATTTGCTATGTACACGGGTCCCTCACTTGTTCCACGCAGCGTTCTTCAACAAATCCAGGACGCTCTTGACGCCCGCCACGACGTCGTAAATGGTCCGCTTGTCGTCCATGCTCAAACTACCGTTCGACATCAAGCCACGGCACGTGTCCTGCTCTGCAGGCGTGGCGTCCTTGGGCACCGACAAGGAATCCGCCTCGCCCCGGACCACCTTCCGGATGCGCTCGCTGAAATGCTCCGCGTCCACCTCCAAGTTCCAGTCTTTCTGCAAGAGGAACCTGTTTCCGGAGAATCCCTCATCGATGTTGTCGATGATCGACCGGGGCAACTTGTACGGGTAATGCGACTCGAGCAAGCACTCCTTGGCCACGGCGGCAACACGTGACGACGTGCACACCGCCAACTTGGCGGGCCTGCCGTGCAAAAACACGTCTCCACTGAGCGTGGGCTTGAGCGCCGCGGCCTTCAATTTCTTGGGCACGATGCTGGCCGGCTTGACGAAGTTCCTTGCTTTTTGGGCCCCGGGGTTCCTGCGGCCATCCGCAGGCCTGTTGCCGCCCTGTCTGCGGTCGCCTGGCTGCATGTTTCGTTGCTGGGGTCTTCCTTGCGAGTATGCGGCGGGCTTTTCGCCCCTGAACGGCGGTTTTTCGCCCCTGAACGCCTGGTTTTGGCCCTGTCTGGGCCCTGGCGGGCGGGCGTCTCTGGCGCCTCCCCGGAAGTTCTTTTCGTCCATGAGCTTGAACATATTGGAGCTCAAAGGGTGATCTTTGACCACGATTTTGGCCCTCGGTGGGGCCCTGGTGTATTTCTTGGGGGCCAGGGGCATTTTCTGCTTTTTCGGCGGGTCTGCGGCGGCCGGCGCTTTCCTGCTGCTTGGCTGGCGGTGCTCCGTCGGACGCAGAGCCAGCTGGGCGATTTTCTCCGATTTCATGTTGATCGTGTCGATTCTTTTCATCAAGTCGGACAAGAAGCCGGACGAGCCGGCGGGGCCGCCCAAGGTCGAGTAGCCGCGCACACTGGCTGTTTTCCCGAGCGTCCATGAACGCAATGCTGGCAACATGGTGGGAATTTTAGGGGGGTGCCGGTGCCTTTTGGAGTGGGGTTTGGGTCTCTGCTTGGAGATATGCCCGATGTGCCGGTGGACTTTGCGGGCGAGACACGACCTTTTTTTTTCGCTGCCTGATTCGCACCTCGCGCGTGCAGGCTCGGAGGATGGAGGAGGATGGATGTGATGATTATGCAGTGAGTGTAGCTGTGAACCATGTGGATGTATTTCATGATCCATGCAGTGGACGGGTGTAGTGGACGAATGTCATGTATGGACGTAAGAAGGACGAAATAAAAGGGCGTAGTGAATGGATGTATTGAAAGGATTTTCGAAATGATTTTCTTGAATGAATTCAGTAGATGGATGTAGCAGATGGATGTAGTAGGTGGATGCAGTAGACAGGTTTAATGTATGAATGTTTGAGAAATGTATTCACTAAATGAATCCGATAAATAAACGTAATATACATGGACGTAGAAAATGGATGTTCTAGATGAGCTCACTAAATGGATGTAATATATGAATGTAATAAATGTATGTAATAAATGGATGTACTAGATGAATAGACGAGATAAATATACTAGATGGATGTAATAAATGGATGTAGTAGATTGATGTAGTAGATAGATGTAATGTAATATGTGGATGTAATATGTGGATGTAATATGTGGATGTAATATGTGGATGTAATATGTGGATGTAATATGTGGATGTAATATGTGGATGTAGTATGTGGATGTAATATGTGGATGTAGTATGTGGATGTAGTATGTGGATGTAGTATGTGGATGTAGTAAATGGATGTAGTATATGAGTGTAGTATGTGGATGTAGTATGTGGTTGTTATAAATAAATGTATTAAAAGGATTTCAAGATGAATTCACTTTATAAATCCAGAAGATGGATGTAGCACATTGATTTATTAGGTGGTGTAGTAGATGTGTATAGTAATGGATGTAATATATGAATGTACTAGATAATTGTAATACATGGACGTAATAAATAGATATAAATGGATGTAAAAAATGAATGTCTTAAAAGCATGTTCTAGATATATTCACTAAACGAATTCAATAAATGAGTGTGATATATAAATGTAATTGGTTATACATGGACGTAATAAATGGATGTAGTAAATGGATGTATTGGAACAAATGTATCCAGTAAATGGATACGATTTACAAATGTAATAAATGTATGTAATAAATGGATGTAATACATGGATGTTATATGTGGATGTAGTAGGTGGATGTAGTAGGTGGATGTAGTAGGTTGATGTAGTAGATGGATGTAGTAGATGGATGTAGTAACCATTGGATAATTGAACGCACATTGCGCCTTGCGGTATGCGTGGATGCAATATTTACTCTCAACCCTATTGGTTTGGTCTTGACCCTCCATATATATATCAAATAAATCTAGTGTAGGGTTTAAGATCACCACAGTCTTTCCTCATCTTCGCAAGCCTACCCGCTGAACTGAAGCATATCAATAAGCATCTACTGCATCCACCTACGACATTGATCTGCTACATCCATCTACTGAATTTATTGAAGAATACTTCTAGAATATGCTTTTAATACATTGATATGTTACATTCATCGGATACATGAATGTACTAGATAAATGTAATACATGGAAATAATTAATTGATGTAATAAATGGATGCAGTAGATAGATGTAATAAAAGGAGTAGATGGCTGTAGTAGTTAAATGGAATACATGTAGATAAATGGATACATGTAGATAAATGGAATACATGTAGATAAATGGAATACATCTAGATAAATGGTTACATGTAGATAAATAGAATACATGGAGATAAATGGAAGACATGTATGTGATAATTGGATGTACTAGAGGATGGGCTAGATAAATACACTAAATGGATGTGACTGACAACATGACTTCTCGAAAGTTTCAAGACATTTTTTGGATCAAACCAATTTAGCAGTCCAACCTGGCAACATCAATAATAAATTCAAATGCCTTTTTATTCAGTTTTAACACATGCCGATGCTTTTTTGGACGAGTGTATTTTTTTATCTTTCGAAATTGGTCTGAAGATAGACAAACATTGCTGGCTTTTGAACATGTCAGTGACTATAGTTTAATCGTGAATTCTCATATTATTTAAAAGGGTAGATATGTAGATGGGCGTAACAGATAATCAGGCTGATGGATGGAAGCATCAAGAGTCATGTCCTTTAGGCAAGCTCTTGGCTGGATTCTTGGATGTGTGGTTTAAAAGAAGTTAATGGAAACGACAGTGCAATGCACCATCTCTCAGTGAGTAACTCAACCAGCAGTGAATGGCACACCTTGGGTTGATGGCTCATTTGCATTAAAATATTGAACTGCGGTTTCACAATGACACGCTTTATATCCAGAAAGACAATCTATAGTTCTTATGACCGTCATGTCTCTAACTCATAACACGTCTTTCAAAAATGGTGCCCGTATCAGAAACTTGGCTGCAAGACATACGGCTAAAGGCTGCTGACTTTAAGCATTTACAGCCGTGCAGTAACAGACCAGGTATTTGTCAAGCACATCCTTATCCTTTTTCATAAAATATGCCAGGTGGTGAGAATTGTCAATGCCTCTAATTGAAGCCACCCAATCTGCATCCTCTTGGCCCAAATGCCGTTAAAGTGACAGTGAAAGTCCTATGTCGGATTAGAAATTCAGTTTTTCACTAAAATTTAACCATCGCAAGTAAACTTATATCCAGCCATAGCTTCTATTTCCAGTCGCGTCAAGCAGCGACCCGGGAATAAAAGTACTGTCATTGCGAGATCACATTGGGCACACCCGATATCGTCCTGTAAATTCGGGCACATTACTTGCAACATAATTATCAGGGCGATTTAACATGAATCAAGGGCCCGAAAGCCAGGTGTCTATCATCTTATTGAGACATGTTTTACAACTTCATGCACCCTCAACTTCCAGTATGGTTTCGGGGAATTTGCAGCAATCTTTAGGCCTGGAAATACTAAAGTGGCGGTATTGGATGTAGTTGTGCCCATGCCAGGCTTAAATTCTGGGGACTTTGGAATGAGCTTATAGCCCGTTGGCCACTATATTGTATGTTCGCTCATTTAATTGAACGCACGATATAGCCACAGCTTGCACCGCCAATCAGGGGATGCTTGAAAACGTTTGATATGGCTGACAATTATTGATGGCGAGTGAAGTGCTCTTAAAAAGGGCTACTATCGTGCTTATTCTTATTTCGAAGTCTGCGTGCCGGAGCCCGTCGACCGAATTATTCTCAGAGATATGCTAGGGTTCTCAGCCAGCCGTTTAATTATTTTTTCGAAACCAGAATTGAAGCTTTATGTTTTTGAAGCTGGTTTTTGTGGTCATAATTTTCAAACTAGCTTTTGAGATTATATCTTTTCAAGCCAGCCGTTAAATTGTCATTCTTTCTGAAGCAAGTCGTTGAACCGTTATTTCAACAAGCCAACCATTGAATTATATTTTGAAGCGAGCCGTGAAACATATATATCTTCACGCCAGCCATTAAACTCTTCTCTCTTCGAAGCCAGCCATTTAACCTTTACCTTTCCAAGCCAGCCGCTATACTTATATCTCTGACTTTTCTCGTCTTTCAACTGAGCTCCATTCTTGCCTTCTGGCGCAGCTTGCGAAATCAATTGCATCAAAAAAAGAAAATTTGAGCCCAACAGCAAAATCTTTGCTTGGTCCCGTCTGGACTCGGTGGCAAAGGCACCCTTTCAATACGCTCTGTGCCTCCCAGCCAGCAAAGAGACAAAACCACACGGGCTTGCTATACATCAAGAAAGACTGCAGACACGTTCAAGAGATATTTTGCAGCCATTAAAGTCGGAGCAATGATCCTACGAATTTATAAAAAGAGCCCGGCTCCCGCCATGCATTTATTTCCTCCAGGGCTCATACTACTATATGTCCAATTTGCATTGCCTCTACTAGAGCTTACAGCCAAAACCCACCAGGGAAATATAAACCATATGGCATTTTCTTCTCAGAATCCACGAAAACATCGCCCTAATAGCTTTGCCGGGTCTTTTGAGGACCCGAACGGCGGCTGTGCCAAACGACCAGGTTCTGCCCAATATGCCCCCAAGTATTAGCAAGCAGAACCGGGCAAAAGTCCCAAATCACCGGAACAAGACCAAGCCAGTATGCCGGAACAGAGACATGCCACAGGGCCCCGAGCCACAGGGCCTACAAGGCCAATTGACGCGGCCGGGTTCATTTCGGCATCCCCGCTGTTTTTTGGAACGCTAATTTATTAGTGCTCGCCAGCCAATAAAGACGCACCGAGTACCCGGCCAGCACGTGACCCCACGCCCCACACGCCCAGAAAAAAAGGGCTTTCCCATCTCCCTCCCTACTATCAACGCCAGCACCTAGCCTGTGTCTATTCAAATCTTGTCAACACCCAGAACCCCAGGCCCCGGCCGGGGCTGGCCATTATACCTGCACACAAGTGGACGGGGTGCACGGGTGCAGGAGGGCGTGCGCGCACCGCAACCTCCGCCCGCCGGCCAATCACAGCGCGCACTGCTCACCACTGCTCCGGCCGAATCGTGGGTGTAGGTTTTTTTCGCGCGCCTCCACCACCGAAAATATATTACGACTCGAAAATCCCATACTCTTTTTTTTCTCCATCTGACTTTTACCCATTCAATCAGAATTAGTCGCCATGTTGTCAGCTCGTTCTGTCTTCCGCACTGCCGCCCGCGCAGCCACCGTCACTAGAACGCGTATTGTATGTATATGTCCGATCCCCCTTGGGGCCTTAGCCGCCGACAGAGGTTTTGGCTGTTTTGAAAGGACGGGTTTTCTTCTGTGGGCCTGTGGGCCGTAGCCCGCCAGGGGGCACTACCTGCCAGGCACGCTGGCGTGCAATTGCGCCCTGCCGCTTTTGTGCTTCAATGCCCCCGGGCCGCCTCCACGGATTCTCGGCCGCATATCCCTGGTTTTGCCGGGCCTGAGCTGGCGGCCGTAATTGCTTGGCGCCGTCCTCTTTGTCCGCGAACGGTCGCCCGTAGCCCGTCCCCAAGCCCGCAGAGGCACACGGCCGGAATGCAAAAGACGGCCGGCCGCCGAAAAGCCCGACGACGAAACGTCCTAGCCTTTTTCTTGTGCTCCCATACTAACCCCTTCCAGGCCCGTCCAGCTTTCACTGCTGTGCGTTACGCTTCTGCCAAGGCTGCTCCTACTGAGGTGTCTTCCATCTTGGAGGAGAGAATCAGAGGCGTCTCTGAGGAGTCCAACTTGAACGAGACCGGCAGAGTGTTGTCCGTCGGTGACGGTATCGCCCGTGTCTTTGGCTTGAACAACGTCCAGGCCGGTGAGTTGGTCGAGTTCTCCTCCGGTGTCAAGGGTATGGCCTTGAACTTGGAGGCCGGCCAGGTCGGTATTGTCTTGTTCGGTTCCGACGCCTTGGTCAAGGAGTCCGAGCCTGTCAAGAGAACCGGCAAGATTGTCGACGTCCCAACTGGTCCTGAGTTGTTGGGCCGTGTTGTCGACGGTTTGGGCAACCCAATCGACGGCAAGGGTCCATTGAACAACTCCGCCACCTCCAAGGCTGAGGTCAAGGCCCCAGGTATCTTGCCAAGAACCTCCGTCCACGAGCCAATGCAGACTGGTTTGAAGGCCGTCGATGCCTTGGTCCCAATCGGTAGAGGCCAAAGAGAGTTGATTATCGGTGACAGACAAACCGGTAAGACCGCCGTTGCCTTGGACACCATCTTGAACCAGAAGAGATGGAATGATGGCTCCGACGAGTCCAAGAAGTTGTACTGTGTCTACGTCGCCGTTGGTCAAAAGAGATCCACCGTCGCCCAATTGGTCAAGACCTTGGAGAGCCACGACGCCATGAAGTACACCATCATTGTTGCCGCCACTGCTTCCGAGGCCGCTCCATTGCAATACTTGGCTCCTTTCACCGCCTGTACCATCGGTGAGTGGTTCAGAGACAACGGCAGACACGCCTTGATCATCTACGATGACTTGTCCAAGCAGGCCGTTGCTTACCGTCAATTGTCCTTGTTGTTGAGAAGACCACCAGGAAGAGAGGCTTACCCAGGTGACGTTTTCTACTTGCACTCCCGTTTGTTGGAGAGAGCCGCCAAGATGTCCAATGCCAACGGTGGTGGTTCCTTGACTGCCTTGCCAGTCATTGAGACCCAAGGTGGTGACGTGTCTGCGTACATTCCTACCAACGTCATTTCTATCACTGACGGTCAAATCTTCTTGGAGGCTGAGTTGTTCTACAAGGGTATCAGACCAGCTATCAACGTCGGTTTGTCCGTCTCCCGTGTCGGTTCCGCCGCCCAAGTTAAGGCTATGAAACAAGTTGCTGGTTCTTTGAAATTGTTCTTGGCTCAATACAGAGAAGTCGCTGCTTTCGCCCAATTCGGTTCTGACTTGGACGCTTCTACCAAGCAAACCTTGGCCAGAGGTGAGAGATTGACTCAATTGTTGAAGCAGAAGCAATTTTCTCCAGTTGCCGCTGAGGAGCAGGTCCCAGTCATCTACGCCGGTGTCAACGGTTTCTTGGATGACATCGAGATCTCCAGAATCGCTGAGTTCGAGGAGTCTTTCTTGTCTTCCTTGAAGTCCAACCAACCAGAGATCCTTGAAGCTATCAGAGTCAGAGGTGAGTTGTCCAAGGAGGAGTTGGCTTCTTTGAAGAGCGCCACCGAGACCTTCGTTGCTTCTTTCTAAACTTATCTTGCATGTAGACTGAAGTGACGTGTTTACACGAACGCAAAAGATACACTAAAAACTATCACGATATATCAAACTATGTTATCGTCATCGAATATGATCTAATTGTAGGTGCATCGTAGTGCAAGTGGCCCAGCTCGGATGATAAGAGGCGGGGACTGGACTTCGTACGCATGTGTTTCTTGCCTGTCTTGGTCCTGAAGGGTGTGTTTTCGGGCCAAAACGTTTGTTAAGCCTGAACAAATTCGTGATGAAGAAAACTTTCTAGGCTTTGCCTAATAGAGCAATGTTGACGAGGACTAAGATTTGATGTTTTACTTAAAGCAAGGCCAACCTTCTTGCATAAAAGTTGGCGGTTCTGAACGGTTGTGATGGGGTCTTGTGGGGCAATCGTTTTCGTATACAAGCTTTTTATCATTTTGAAATATCATTAGGTCGGCATTCGTTTTGGTCGCGATGTATTCCTTGTTGCCCTTGACAAATCAGAGCTTAGTTAGCTTGGGGAATAGACCGAGGCCTTATTCCGTGGATTTGATATTTGTGTTTATCTGAATTTCTCGTCTGGTCCAACATGGCCCATATAGTTTAGCTTGTTATTTTGATTTCGCAGCCGTCCAGAGGCGGTCAAGAAGATGAGATAGGTGAAGAGGAAGCATGTATCAACGAGATAACCTTGGTTAGCCCGAGCCTAGCGCATAAGGACTACGAGAAAATCATAGGGAGTTCATTCACTTTGTATTAATATGGCAGAAGACAAGTAAGTGTGTCCAGCACGTGGATCTTTTCCGTAATAATTTTTGAGTATGTCCTCGTGTATGCCAGCCTACGTAAAAGCTTCACGCTGCAAATTGTAGTGAAACACGCAGTGCCGACTGATTTTTATGAGGTTGACTGAGCCAGGAAACTTTATATTGTCACCGGGGGGTATAGCTCTCTATGTCACCTAATATAATGTAGCTCTAGATTGTCACCGAATATGATATAGCTCTTTATTGCCACCGAATATATAGTCACCGAATATGATCTGGATTAACATTGCCTCCGAATGTGAAATAGCTCTAATTGTCACTTGAATATGATGCAACACAATGTATTCTCACCTGAATATGACGGAAGTCTAAGTACTGTCAGCAGAATACAATGGAACATTAATTACTATCATACGAATATGATGTGACTCTATATTTTCACGTTAAAATGACGAAGTTCAATATTGTCACCGAATACGATGGAACTCTATATTGTCAGCCGAACATAACGGCACTCTATTTACTTTAACCTGAATGAACTCTGCATGTACTGTTGCCCGAAACTGGCAAAACTCCATATACTGTCCTCAATATGACGGAACACATGGATGTCACCTGACGCGCTCAGGAAAGTAGCCCACTGAATATACCAAGCAAATGCCCCACCAATGTTGTTGGGCTTATCCAAGAAGACGCGAGGAGTCCCGAAATCCGAAATCCTAGAATCGGCATGACCGCCGTGGAGACCCAGCCAGAACGGGTCTGGGACCCCGCGTCACGTGACCCCAGCACGCGTCGGTGGGCCGACCAAACTCACCAGCCATACCAGAAAAGCACAAGCATACCACAAACATCACTTTGTGGCCCGGCAATCCCCGTCTAACGCAGAATGAAAAGCAAGAAGACAGCCCCGGTGATTTTGGACCTCAGCAAACCGGAAGACGCCCAGCGCATGGCCCAGTTTGAGGTACACGACTACAACTACGAGCATCGGCAGACCTACACCACGCAGGAGTTTGAACAGGACTTGCACTTTCTTCTTTCTGCTCAAGAAGACGCGCCCGGAAAACCCCCCGGCTCCGGCGCCCGCTCGAAACAGGCGCAAAATCCGCGCACAGAGACCCTCTCGGCATCTCCAAAGATGGCCTGCTCGCCACAAAACATCCTGGCTGACAGTGGCGACGAACGTGAGCTCAGCGCCCAGTTTTCGGCGTTGAAGGTCCAGTCCAGCGACGACTCGGCACCAGCAAAAGCAGCGGCCAGGCCCAGGGCCTCAAAGGCCAAGGAAACGCACCGGATTTCAAGGAAAGAAATCACCAACGACCTTCAGGGAATCGAGTTTCTGAGCGACGACGAGTCCGCAGATGTCCCTGGGGAAGGCCCTCCCAGCCTGCTTCCAGAAACCAGGCCTGCGGCGGACCGCTTCGAGGATTTCGAGGCCCTCGAGGCCCTAATCACGCCGACCAGACGCAAAAAGGCTAAAAGAAGCAAGAAAAACGCTACAACCGCCGCCAAAGCCGACAGTGTCGATAGCAGCAACCCTGCCGCGCTGCGCCTGCCCACGCCGGGCGGCGACGCCGCAGCGAAACCCGCTTCCAAGCCGCTGAAAAACGCCTCCGAAGCTCGCAAAGCTGTGGAATCGAACAAAACGCCTCTGCCGCAGATCCATGGCGGCGGCGGTGCCGTAAACACAGAAAGAACACGCTCGCGGGAGCCGGTACTGGCTTCCCCCGAAAAAACGGGTCCCGGGACCGGCCCGCCGGCCCCGAAAACTGCAGACAGCTTGCCGACACATAAAGAGACCGCCGCTTTCGCCCGGCTCTCGTCGGCCAAGGCCACGCTGGTCACGCAGTTGCCGGCCGTGCAGCCGGTGTCGACGATCTTCGGGCTCTCGCACGAACAGATCTACAAGACACGGCTCTCGGACGTGAAGGTCAAAACCATCGTGAACGTGCCCATGTCCAAAATGTGCAAGAATGCGTTGACGTTTGTGATGGCGGAAAACGAGGGGCTCTTCGTGGACGCAGAGAAAACCGGCCAGTTTGTGGACTTGTGCACGAAGGTGGCGTTGTACGAGGCGCCCGGCTTCAACGAGGTGACCAAGCGCATCCCGGCCTTGTTGGACTGGGTGCCCCAGTACGAGCCGTTGACCTTGCAGCACACCAAAACCAACGTCACCGTGTCCAACAAGCAGATCCACAAAAACTGCTTGGACTACACGGTGTTCTCGTTTTTCGGCCACATTCTTCTCTGGGCAAACGAGCTCCAGCACACGGCCAAAGCCACGACCATAGTCGAGAAATACCACCTTGACATTTCCCGCACCCAGATCCTCAACTCGCTTGGCGGGTACCATCTCTGGGACCGGCTCCGGCGGGACAAGACCATCAACACGAAGCGCTGGAAACACATCCAGAAGTTCAGACAGTTGTTTGCGTTTGAGGAGCACCAATTCGTGTTGATTTTGCGCTGCATGAACCTCGGCGTGCCCGCGTACTGAGGAGGGAGGCGAAGCCTGGGGACCTGTGTATTTAATTTGTTGGTAGGTAATGAAAGATACTTGATTGCGAGAAACGCCACGTGTCCAATGTACGCCTGCCCTGCTCGTGCTGGTGTGAACTGCGCGGGCGGTGAGGGGAGGCTGAATAAACGTGGTCTGCATTTCTGGTGTTGTGTTATGGACAATCTAACTAGCGGCAATGCTGGCTGGATCACTTGGTGTAGTTGTTGGCCTGGAGCCACTCGGTGATGCTGGCACAGTCACGCTTGGCCCAGCTGGACTTGGCCGTGATCATGTCCAAGGACTGAGCCAAGCTTTGGTGAACCCCTTGGTGTTCTTTCCTTCGAAGAACTTGACGACGTTCTCCTTCTGCGAGTCTTGCGTGAACCCGGAGGAGGCCACGGTCACAACGGAGCCCAACATCGACAATCCTGGCGGCAACAACTTGTAGATGTCCTCCCAGTTGGAGGTGAACCAGCCCCACAACTTCTCAATTCCCACTGGGTGCGCCCTCATGCCTTGCATGGGGATGTAGATGTCCTGGGCCTTGACAACGTTGCTCTGCAACAAGAGGGACGCAACTTTGTCGAGGACCTGCTCGTCCTCGAATCTACCAAAGGCTCTCAAAGCGGCAATCTTCTCCTCGACAGAGCCTGGCTTCAGGTAGATGGCAAAGAGTTGGTCGAATACCTTAGCGTCTCCACGCTTGGCAACGCTGTTGAACACCGCGGCCCTGGAGTTGGGGTGGATGGCCTTATTGTCGCCTGCAACGAAAGCAGCAAAGACCTTGTCGACGTACTCCACAGCCTCCTTGTGGCCCGCGGCAACGGCAGAAGAAAACAACAAGGACTTCAATTGCTCATCCGCAAATGAGTCAGAGTCGGAAAACTCCCATCCAATGGCCAGGAGTTTGTTCGAGATCAAGTCGAGAGTGAATTGGTTCAAAGCAGAGTTGATGGCAGCATCCTCAAAGATCAAAGAGGCCTTGATCTTACCGATGCTCGCCAAGGCGGCCTCCCAGACAACGTAGTTGTCTTCGTTGGACCAGGCCTTGACCAAATTGAGCAAGTCGGTGGTCTTGATGGAGCCAGAGGACGCCAAGGACGCAGCATCGGACACCAAGCCCACACGGTCTTCCACAGAGAGCTTGCCAGCAACACCAGCCTCACCCAACTTGGACCAGCGGGCTGGCGAGTAAGCAGTACGGTAGACACCAGCCTGGTCGGCGTTGATCTTGAAGAAGTCGTCGGAAACATCGAGCTGAAGCTTGGTGGATCTGCCGTTCAAGACAGCAGACTCGTCGACACCGGCAGAGGTCTTCAAGCCCAAAAAGACTGGGTACAACGTCTCGTCCTCCTCCGGCTTGACGTCGGCAGTGGCAAGGAATCTGTTTTGGGTGAGTGTCAACTCGGAGCCCGACTCCTCGACGGTCACCACGGGGAACCCGATCTTCTTGGTCCAGATGTCCATGACCTTGACAACATCCTTACCACTGACGTCACTCAAGGCCTCCCAAAGGTCGGAGGTCTGGGTATTGCCCCACTTGTGTTTCTTCAAGTAGTTGGAGACACCCTTGATGAACACGTCCTCGCCCAACCATCTGGAGATCATCTTCAACAAAGAAGAGCCCTTGGAGTAGGAGATGGCGTCGAAGATCTGGTTGATTTCGTCTGCTCTCTTGACGGGCACCTCGATGGGGTGGGACGATCTCAAGGCGTCCAAAGTCAAGGCGTGCTGCAAGGAGTCCGACACATAAGACTCCCAGACCTTCCAGTCTGGGTACAAGGCGTCGCACGCGTACCAGGACATCCAGGTGGCAAAGCCCTCGTTCAACCAGAGGCCATCCCAGAAGTCCATGGTGACCAAGTTGCCGAACCACTGGTGGGCCAACTCGTGCATGACGACCTCGGTGACACGCTGCTTGGTGTCGACGTTGGTGTTCTCCGGGTCCAAGAGCAAGTCCACGGTTCTGTATGTGATCAAGCCGAAGTTCTCCATGGCGCCTGCGGAGAAGTCGTGGATGGCCACCATGTCGAGCTTGGGCAACGGGTAGGGGATGTCGAACTTGCCGTCAAAGAACGCGAGCGTCTTGGCGGCGATGTCCGCGGAGTACTGGCCCAAGTGCTCGGAGCCAGGCGTGGCCCACACCTTGATGGGCACGTTGTAGGAGTTGTTCTCGACGCAGCGCAAGTCGCCGACAATGAACGCCACCAAGTAGGTGGACATCAAGGGCGTGGAGTGGAACTCGGTCTTCTTCTTGTTGCCGGCGAGCTCGTGCGTGGCCTTGACGTCCATGTTGGACAAGTGCACCAAGGCGCTGTCGGAGATCAAGGAGATGTCGAACTTGGCCTTGAGCGCGGGCTCGTCGAACGAGGGGAACGCGCGGCGGCAGTCCGTGGGCTCCATCTGCGTGGTGGCCAAGTACGCGGTCTGGCCGTTCTCGTCGGTGTACGTGGAGCGGTAGAAGCCGGCCATCTTGTCGTTCAAAATGCCGGTGAAGGACATGGACAACACGGCGTCCTGGCCGGGCACCGCCTCGGCGCCCAACGCAAACGTGGCGGTCTGCTTGTCCTCGTCGTAGGCGATGCTGGCGACGGCGCTGCCGTTGAAGTGCGCGGCGTGGATGTCGATTTCCAACGAGTTCAAGGTGATTTCGAGCGTGGGCTCGTTGACGCGCAAGTGGATCAGCAAGTCGCCGGCAAACGTGAACTGCGAGAAGTCCGGCTCGAGCGTGAGGTTGTAGCGGAGCGGCGTCACGTTGGTGGGGAGCACCTCCCGCTGGAGGGTGGTGGAAGTGCACATGTCGGAGGTTTTGTGGTTGTGGAGACAGCAGTAGGGGGAGGGGCGGGCCAGCGAAAAACAGCGGCGAGCGCTTTTTATGGGGCCCGCGGCGGGGCCGCCCCACGGGGCCACACGGCTCGAAAAAAAAGGCATTTGGCGCGGCGTCGGGGCGGCGCGGCCGGCCTGGCCGCGATAGGCAGCGAGGCCACACGAACCACGCGGGCCAGGCAGGCCAGGCCGGCCCCGTGCGGCCGGGCCGGCCAGCGCGGCAAATGGGGCCAGCGCGGCAAACTCGGCAAATGGGGCCAGCCCGGCAAATGGGGCCAGCTCGGCAAATTCGGCAGTGTGGCAGGGCGAGGCGCGCCAGGGATTGGCGGCGGGGGCCGCGTGGCGCCAAGTGGCTCTAGGGCCGCGGGGGGCAGGGCCCAGCCATCCGAGCCGCACAGGGCCGCGCGGGCCTGGGGCCGGGCGGGCGCTGGCGCCTGGCGCCCAGGGCGAGCCTCGCATTCGAAGGGCACGCGCGAATTTCATCGGCCAATGGGAGAGGAAAAGAGAGTAGTAGGAAAAAAAAAAGCCATGGGCGGGCCACTCACCTGGATAAGGCGCGGCGCGGCGCGGCGCACTGCTGGTGCATTGGCGAGAAACGAGGGCAGCAAATGGAGAGGAGGGCTGGAGGTGGTTTATTTATGGAAATTGGGGGGAAAGGGAGGGAAGCGGGGGGAGTCGGGAAGGGGGCAGGGGCTACAGGGCATGTAATTGTGCCTAATGCAGGGTGGCGGCAGGAGGGTACTAGTAGAGGTGGTAGTGGGTCTTTAATAGAGGTGGTGGGAGGAATTGAGGGTAATGACTGGGGAGGTGAATTGGAGGATAGCTGAAGGGTAATCAATATAAGGGAAGTGGTAAGTTTTAGTGAAATAGTTTAGAAGAATTATCAATTGGGTGTCTTAGGAGGGTTATTAATAGAGGTGGTAGTGGGTCTTTAATAGAGGTGGTGGGAGGAATTGAGGGTAATGACTGGGGAGGTGAATTGGAGGATAGCTGAAGGGTAATCAATATAAGGGAAGTGGTAGGTATTATCAAAAGATCTTAAAGAGATTGTCAATTGAGGGTCGTGCTAGACTATTGCTATAGAAATAGCTGGGTTACTAATTGAGGGTAGTGTAGACTTATCGGAGGGTTGTAGGAGGAGTATTAGTGGAGGTAGTAGGGTCTTTTCATAGATGGTATTAGAAGGTTATTGAGCAGTATGTCATGTAGGTCATTGGTGAGTAGTAGTAGATTGTTGATAGAGGGTAGTAGTAGATTGTTGATGGAGGGTAGTGGTAAGTCATTGATTGATGGTAGTGGTAGAGTCATTAATGGAGGGTGGTAGTAGTGTTATCAATGGCATAGTAGTGAATTCATAGTTAGAGCCCAGTAGACGTCGTGATGGAAGGCAATAAAGGGTAATACAAGATTTAAAGGATAGTAAGTTAATAACTGGAGGATAATGATAGGGTCATCACCTAGTAGTCTTATTGTAGAGGGTAGTAGGGTCATCAAGGTAGGGTCATTACAAAGGAATGCAGTGGGGGCCTCAAAAAGGCCCGCGACCCCAGTTTCACTAACAATTTTCCCAAGATTTCAATCATAAAACACATGTGCGGATACAAGAACAGTCTATCAACTAAATTATGGCTCTCTATTCATTGCCACTGTCTGGTAAGGCGAGCTGTCTGCTGAGCGCTCCTTCGATAAACCAAATCCAAAGGTTGGCACATTAAAAACCAGACCAGAGGCAAGGGACTTCTCATACATATGCTTTGTATTGGCCCGAAAATAGCCCAAAGCTTTTTCACTCTGGCCCGCCCGTGTGCGCCTGCTTCTTTTGTTTTAATAGTGCGCATCGTCAAAGTTCGCAGCCATTAATCCAGAAGTTCGCAGCCACTATTTGAGTGGCCAGCAAGCGGCAGAAATCTCTATTCTCATACACCCGAGCACGCTCCCGTTCCTGACTATATCATCACAGCTCACCATGGAATAGTGCTTCAAATGGTAGGTGAAATGCTTCTGTTCGAGTGCTTGATGAGCCCACGTGCTTTTCTAATTTATCCGGCATCTCGATGAGACCTTGACAATGTATACGTCTTTACTCTTTTTGCTTCGAAGTGATAAGATGATATAAATTGAAAAAGCACTGGTATGAGAGGTGCGGGATATCCTGATGTGCTGAGGCTGTCTAAAAAGATTTAACAAGCGGATGTTTATTCGACACACCCCCCGATATATAAGTTCGTTTTTTCTGGACTTGCCATAACCATTCTATTCTTCTTGTGTTGGTTTTGTGGCTAAGCTTATTTGACACTGGCCCTGAATGTTTTGAGTCCAAAAAAGGCCCTGAGCTGTGTTGGTGGCTTCATGATTGACGCCTCTGAATCAAAACAACACGATGCAGTAAAGAGCTGATTTGGTGAAAGAACAGATCATAGTGATAGAGAAAAGATAATTGGAGAAGCGGCCAGAATATCTTTACTGAGACAAGGGCATGGAGAGCAAATTATTTCTGCTCATTTATAAGAAGCACATCGAAGCGAGTTTTATGGGTCGTGATTTTCAAACTCCTAATAAAAAGGTTGTTTGATTCAAAAAAACACGTCCCGTTTATGATCAAGAAAGTACACCTCTATTCATGATAGTACTCAGCCTTGGAACATTTTTGTACCAGCATATAACTTCTCAAGCGGGGAAGAACAAGCTACAGGGTCTCTTTGCAAAAGATAGACGTGATCCTGCAAATTATGTCCAAAACGTAAGAAAGGCGGTGTAAAATGTTTTTTTTAGAGATTACACCGATCTACTGAGAACTTTAAAATTAAAGTATCGCCTCATACTGGTCCCAAGGCTGTGTGGATCACATTAGTCTCCCTCACCCAACAGACACATAGACACACACACTACCATAGAGAAGGTATATCTGCTTAATTCAAGGCACGAGTTTCTGGCACGTACGATATCGAAGGTGATGAGGTGAATACCTGGCTGACTTCATCGTGATTTTGACCATCCTCCTCATGATAGTATGTATACCAGCTTTCCAGTGTTGGGTACCCATAGGCTTCTGAGCCAGGATGTGATCATCACATAGAAGAAAGATTGCAAGTGGCTTCCATGAAAGAGATGAACCGTCTCTTAACCAGAAATACGATCAGATTCTCGAAAATTTGTGGCCGAGATTAGACTAAATTTCCACGGCGGATCATGAAATGACTCTCTTGCAACCTTGGGTATATATGAGCGGACACTTCTGACACTCGGCTGTGTTTCCAATTATAAAGTTTATGTTTTCGCATAAAACGCTTTGCTGTTTCTGGAGGGCAGCAATACACCAATTATGCACCCGCATTTTCAAAGGCTACTCCTAGGGATTAATGACCTGGGGAATAACAACACTAAATTTCCAGTCAATATACTCAGTTATGCAAAACCAATACTATTTATCAAGTCCAAGCATCAAGAATAAGCGTCAATTGCATTATAATTTCTGTTCCTAAACCAAGGTTGTCTCGTCCTTGAAGTCGTCGCCCGCTGCCAACCATCCGACAATTCCCTCATGCAAGATCTGCACATCCACATCTTGCGGGCCGTTTGCAGCCACGTGGTCTTTGCCCCAGGCGCCGATGAGACCTGCCCGCTTGGCCGACAGATTGCAGTGGACCACGATTTTCTTAGTTTGTGGGAACTGGGCCAAGACGGGGCCCACAAGCTTGTTCTGGATATCCGTGGGACCTTCGATCACAGTAGCCGGAATATGCACGGCCTTGGTGATATAGCCTCTTTCTCTGTCGTTCCGCAAATCGACCACTGTGACGGTCTCAGGTGCACTCTTAAGTATGGCGAGAAGCTCGTCTTTGCTCATACGATGAGGTTTAGTTTCCAGTTGCTCGGACCCCCATTTGGCAAGCCAATCAGGAACGGAAGGTAAGGACATGGTTCAGTGGATCAGGCAAATCTAGCAGTGAAAACGCAAAGCAAGACGCGGACCTGCTGTTCTTATATGGGCGAGCTTGCGAATAATTGCGAAGAATAGTAGTAGCGCCATGGCGATGTCACGTGACATCTCGCAAGCCACGTGCAATACAGCCCGTTAGTTCCACTGCCTAAATGTTTCCCTGTGTGAAGCTTTTCAAGGCTGATGTCATAGGAAGCTTCTGCGGACACGACCTTTATTTTGTGCACACGTTTTTTCCTTCCCGGCGTCCAACTGGTGGTCCGCGTAGATTACCAGTGACGCGATGTGATCATGTAGTTCAGCACGTCCGCCTCTAAATCAAAGACAAAACAAGGTTCTACGGGAATAAGGCCCCGGACAGTGGTCTGCATCCGGCGGGCCGAAAATGCCCCGTTGCTTGCGCCCTTTACTTGTGGGCGGTATAGCCCGAGCCTTCCAACACGTGGCTTGTCAACTGCACTGTAGCTGGAGCCAACCTATGGTGTCTTTTCGATTACATATATTTTCGGATACCCGCACATGTCGGCCAGGGACCCACCATGGCCCCGGGGCAGATGTCCACTTTAGGTAACGGAGGGCAGATGTCCACTTAGGTAACGGAGGGCCCATGTATCCAAGGCCGCACCCACCCGCCATTAGAACCGGCAAGTTTCCCAGGGCCTTCCCCCAGTGGCGTCCCGCCGAGTGGTCGTTTCGAAGAGCTCTATTTACTATCGTCTGCGCACCAGGCCCTAAAAGCGGACGATTTTCACCCCGTTCTCTGGATCAAGTGCACACCGCTATCGGTCTCGATGATGTCGCTGTACTCGCCCACATTCAACGCAAAAGCGGCCTCCTCAAAAGGCGGCTGCATCTGGCCCTTGGCGAAAAAACCCAAGTCCCCGCCCTTTTCATGCGAGGAGCAGTCGCTCTCTGAGCGGGCCAAGTCCGCAAGGCTGATTTCGCCATTCAAGATGCGTTTCTGGAACCCCCTCAACATGGCAATGGCCTCGTCACGTGTGCGGGTCACGCCCTCCGGGCTTTTCCAAGACTTGGGTCTTCTGGATGTGTCGTTTTTCACTAGCAAGTGCAGCGCACGTACCTTGCCGTCGGCAGCCACCACGGGCTTGTTGCCGTTTTCTTTGTATTTAGCTATATAGGATGAAACCTTGTCCACGTCGCTTCCATAGGGCGGCTCCCAGGACAGTTCCCGTGTGGCGAGGTTTAAGAAGTAGGGCTCGTTGTGAGTTTTGCTGAGCCTGATGCTCCAGCTTGCCGGCAATCCTGTATCCATGGTGAGGTGTGCTTGATGTATTTTCGGTTCACAGGGCGAAAAGGGACACTGTAAATACGTGTGGTAAGAAGAGAGGCGGTGAAGGTGAGCTTAGATATATGTTTTGGAAGCGCTGCGGTGCACCCGTACACCACCAGACACGCGGCGCCGGTTGGAGCACTTTGGGTGTTTATTAGGGGCACTTCAGGACGCCTGCTTATTAGAATTACTTACTGACGGCTGCTTAGGAATGTTTAGATGGTGTAGACTCGGCAATGGGGAAAAGAGCCAGTTGAGGTTTGGGACTGCCTTTCTATTTTTGCACACGCCACTGTGGGTTTTGCACGTCGCTTGGCGCGGCTAAGTAGGTATGTGGCTATGGCCAGTTTCTTTGGTTTGGCACGATTGGCGCTCCAGGGGACAACAAGGCTCTGGAACTTGCTTTACTGGTCTAGATTGAATTGATTGAACTGTATGCATTGACTTTGTCGGCGGTGCTGGTCACATTAGCTATACTGGCTACATCAGCTATACTGGCTACATTGACTACATTGGTTACATTGACTACATTGGTTACATTGACTACATTGGTTACATTGACCACATGACTACGTTGACAACATTGACTAAATTGATTACATTAACTACATTGACTACGTTGACTACGTTGACTAACTTGACTAACTTGACTACGTTGAATATATAACTACGTTGACTACATGACTTCATTGACTACATTGACTTCATTGACTACATTGACTACATTGACTGCTTTGACTGCATGAAACGCATCGACTAGATTCACTACGCTGACTGCATTTACTGCATTGACTACATAACTACGTTGACTACGTTGACTACAATGACTAATTTGACTACATTGACTGCTTTGACTGCATTAACTGCATTGTCTAGATTCACTACATTGACTAAATTGACTATACTGTCTACATTTGCCATACTGACTATACTGCTGGATTGGCTATAATGACTATGCTGACTACCTTGGCAACCTTGACTATATTGGCTACGTTAAATACCTCGGCTATACTGAATATATCCGCTATATCAGTTGTATAGGCAGTATCGGCCTTATTGACTACATTATTATATTGGCAAAGTTGGCTCATTGACTACATTGACTTTACTGACTATACTTACCATATTGACTTGACTTTATTGCCTGACTTCGACTACATGCCTTTATCGACCCATTAACTTGGAGATGGCCCTACTGTATCTCGGCTACATAAAGTGAGTGCATCACGTCACGTTGCAGACAAGCTGGGGCGGTTGCCGCGGATCAAAACTGATGGCATTGTCTACGAGTGAATTCTCACCACTCTGAATTGCCACCACTCCAAATTCTTTGCAACCTGTTTTTCGAATCAACACCCACATTAGGATCTAAGCCGGGTGTGACAGAACCATATCCTGTGATCGATGTTGAGCACAAATCACAGGACGTCCTTTTTTACATGGGTAGCGAGGCGAGTCGCCAAGACTTTCTGCGTCTCCATCACCTGAAAAGAACAGTCAAGCAACAAAAAGAAGACAACACCAAATGAGCTCGAACCGTGGACCGCGCACCTTATTCAAAGCGTCATTTTGACGACACCACACAGCCCCAGGCCCTCGCAAACCCAGCATGCAGGACCTCAGAAAGACGCTCCTACTTTCTGGACCAGCTGACTGCCTTGACGGGCGGAGGTCGACGAACGGAACAAGGCCGCTGGGCACGTGCCACCACGCACGTGACCCACCGCCGCAGCCGCACGCTCGTTGCTGCCGCGTCGAGTGTACATGCAGGCGCCGATCTGGAGGCGACATCGCTGGGCCCGCGCCGTCTGAGCTATTCGCTCCGGAGATAAGACCAGGATCCTAAATCCACGCCAAAAGCACCGAGCAGGCAAAGAACTGCAGTCCCCTTCCGGAGACACGCGACGGCGCAAGCCCCACCCTCCCGATTCCGCTATTTTGGTTCCAAATTGCGCCGTCTATTACTGCGCTCGTGTTCCACGTGACCGGCCGATTTTGCCACCAACGCCGCTAACTTGCCATGAGAAGATCCCGAGTCCGCGGCCCCAACTCGGCGTTGACCGAGTTTCTCCGTGTGGAGGGCATCACCAACGCGTTCCGGCAGCGCCAGAATGAGCAGGGTACTCCGAACAGCGAGAATTCTGACGATTTGCAGGCCGCCCCGCCGCCCCGCAATAGGCGATCCAGACGCGTGGCCTCGACGTCCCAAACCCCGGAGCCCCAGCTGGCAGACATAACCAGTGACGGGTTTTCCGACGGTGCCTACAGCGAGAACGAATCCGAGGAGGCGCAGCTCCGTTTGTCCGACGACGACGCCGGCAGAGAGCCCGACCTGTTCGGCCAGGAGGAAGACTGCGTGGACTGCGGCAACCCGTTCACCGTGACGGTGTACTCGCGCTTTGTCGACGCGTTGAAAGGGTACATCTGCGAGGACTGCAACGAGATCCTCAAGAAACGGGAGAAGACGGCGCGGCAGAACCAGGCCAACGCGCGCAAGCGCCGCAAAAAGATTGCCAAGGCCCTCTTGGATAAGAAGGCCGTGCGGATCGCGTCTTTGCAAGACGTGTGCATCCGCACGATCACGCAGAACATCGGCGCCGTGGATGTGTTGGGCGACATTGGGCAAGGCAACATCAACAAGATCCTGAAGATCTTGTCGAAGAACCGGTCGCTCAACGACTCCACGGCCACGCTCTTCCTCAATCCCGACTTGACGGCGCTCGAATTCTGGGACTGCCTGAACGTGTCTAGTGACTCGTTCAACAAGATCGCCGCGTACTGCTCGCGCCTCGAGTCGCTCACGCTCTTCATGTGCGGCCAGTTCCACAACGATAACCTCACCTACTACAAGGACAAGTTGCCGCATCTCAAGAAGCTAGCGCTCAACGGGCCGTTCCTCATCAACGACCGCGTGTGGCAGGACTTCTTCGACAATGCCGTGTGTGACTTGCAGCAGTTTGAGATCCGGAACACCCACCGCTTCTCCAGCGAGTCGCTCATATCCCTTCTTGAGAAACGCGGGCCCAACCTCACCCTGCTCAAGCTTTCCCGGCTCGACGGCTTGGACTCTGCGGCCGTGTACGAGCTCATTCCCGAGTACATCACTGCGGGGAGGCTTACCACGTTGGAGGTCTCGCACCCGCACAAGCCCGAGTTGATCTCTGACGACTTGCTCATCCATATTCTCGCCATCACCGGCGAGTCCTTGAGACACTTGAACGTGGATGGGTGCACGGGGCTCACGGACACGTTTTTGGTCGAGGGCTTGGCGAAGTTCTGCCCCAGCTTGGAGCTGCTTTCCATGCGCAACCTCGATCTACTCACAGACGAAGGCTTTGCGGAGGCCTGGCGTGAGCTCGCGGCCATCAACTACGGCGGGCTTGTGAATGTCGACCTTACCAAATGCACGGGCTTGGGCGACCGGTCCGTGCACGCGTTGCTCGCCCATTCGGCAAAGACGTTGGTGGACGTGTCGCTCAATTCGCTATCGAAGTTGACGAAAGACTTCTGGAAGCGAGCATTGGACGGCGCCGCCCGAACCCATGGGGATAAGCCAGATGCCCCGGCGAACGGCCGTGAGCCTCCTGAGGCTCCCGCCGTGTCTTTTCCGCTTCTCACCCGACTCGACGTGGGATTCGTGAGGAGCTTTGACGACGAAGCGGCGGAGCAGTTGTCCCGGGAATGCCCCAAGTTAGCCGTGCTCGAGGTTTTCGGGAACAACCGCTGCACGGCCAAAGCCCGGACGCGGCGCGAGCTTTTGGTCATTGGAAGACAGGGCGAAGACATTTAGAGCATATAGAATACGGAGTCCGCGGTACCTAAAGTATTAATCTGTCGGCGCTACTCCTCGGGGTAGTTGATGGGCGCGTTGGCCTTGTCAACGTTTCGGAGCGTCGGGAAGACGGGGGGCTCCAACTTGTCGTCTAGGAGCGACACCCACGGCCCGTCCATGATACGATGCGTCATTCCGGGCCTGGCGTCCACAAACACGCCCGGGTGGCCCGCGTGCCTGGCCCTTAGTTTCATGAGCGCGTCCGCCGGCGCGTGCGCGTGGGCAGGCTTGGGGTCCGGGAGGAGGTAGTTGTTCATGGCGAGCCTCCTTTGCGCGGGCCGGTTCACATGCAAGTCGTCGGACTTGTCCATGCGGATGTTGAGGAGGATGTCCAAGTAGTTCTCCTTGCCCAGGAGAGAGACGGCCTGGGCCAAGTTTGCGCCCGTGAGCTCGTAGTAGATGTCGAGCAAGGCATCGACGGCGGTCTTTGGCAACGCCGTGGCGGAGGAGACGAAGCGCACCACGCTGCGCAAGTTGGCCAAGTTCCTGTGGCCCGCGCCCTCGAAGTCGACGAAGAAGCGCCAGAACTGCACGGACCGGGAGAACGCGTGTTCCGCGTGGTGCTTGTTGTAGAAGCTGCGGATGCGCTCGGTGGCGGCGGGTTCGTCGCGGAGGAGCCGCAACAAGTGCACTGCGACGACGCACACGCCGTCGTCGTTGAGGCACCTGGACACGGCGCTGATGTGCGAGGGGCTCAACTGCTCTGATTTGGAGGAGTTTGCGGGGGAAGTCTCTGTCCTGGCGGGCTGTGCGGGGGAAGTCTCTGTCCTGGCGGGCTGTGCGGGGGAAGTCTCTGTCCTGGCGGAGTTTGCGGGCGTGGACCCTGTCCTGGCGGGTTGTTCTGTCTTGGCCGCCCTTGCAAGCGTGCCGTCGTCCCGGGCGGCCTTTGTCACCGCGTCTCGCTTGTGCCTGGCCGCGCCCGAGAAGTATGCGCCCACAAGCCCCTCGAGCGCCCGCACGACGTCGGCGGGCGGCACGTGCGCGGCCCAGAGCAGGAGCGTCTGCGCAAGAGTGTGCACGTAGGCGTCCTTGCCGTAGAGCCGGGCGCCGGCAACGCCCGCGTACGTGCGGAGGGCGTCGCCCAAGAACGCGGCGGCCGCGCCGAAGCCCTGCTCCGCGGCAAGCATGCGCGTGTAGCGCTCGCGGAGCGCCGGCTCGGCCACCGGCACGAACCGGTGGATGGCCCGCCTGTAGATGTCGTCGCGGGCCTGGAACGACTGCTGCGGCGACGGCGCGTGCTCCGCGACAAAGTCCGCGTACCGCGCCCAGAGCCCGCCGTCGGCGCAGTGGGCCACGAGCGCCCGCTCATACACGCTGACCACCAGCGCGTACTGGAGCTGTCTCTGCGAGCCGGCGGGCATGGCCTCGAGGACCGCGGATTCCGCGGCGAGGTACGCGGCCCAGTCGCGGGCGGGCGCCACGGCCTCCGCCAGGCCCAGGGCCGGCGCCAGCGCCTCTGCCAGCGCCAGGGCCTGCGCCAACGCGGCCTCATAGGGCCACTTGCGCGCCACGTGCGCCTGTGTCTGCGTGAAGATGTCGTGGCAGTACGTGTCGACGAGCTGGCGCTGCTCCACCACGGAGAGCTCCTCGAGCAGCGTCTTGCCAAACGCCTCGAGGTACCGGGCGCGGTCGGCCTCGCCGAGGATGTCGGCCGCCGCATAGTTCCGGCTGATTTCGCCGAACTGGCTGTAGTACTGCGCGTACTGGTAGAGCGGGACGCGGAGGACGCGGAGATACACCTCGAGGAGCCGCGGGGACGGCGCGGGCACGCCGGCCGCGGCCTCGAAAGCGATGTACTTGTCCCAGAACGGGTCCGCGTTGAAATCCATGCCCACGGCGGCCGCGGCACGCGCAAACTCGGCGCGCACCGCGTCGCTCGAGTCCGGGCGGGCCGGGGCGCCGTCTGGGCGGCCGCCTTGCACGCTCTGCAACGCGGCCAAGTACTCGACCCAGAGCAGCACGCTCCGCGGGTGCGCGGCTACGGCCTGCTTCAAGCAGGCCACGGACGCGTCCACGCCGCCCATGCGGTACAGCAAAAGCAGGTACTGCCGCCAGTGTGCCGCCAGATAGGGGAACCTCAGGAGGAACACCGAGAACGCGGCCTTTGTGGCCTCGTGCGCGGCGGCGGCCGCGTCTTTGGACGCGGCGGCTGTCCAGGCAGCTTCCAACTGTTGGAAAAGAGCGTCCCACTTGCGCCAGTTGTCTTTGTCGGCGAGGGCGGCGGCCTTGGCTTGGTCCCATTTCTCGGGCCTGGGCTTGGGCCGCGGCGGCAACCCCAGCGAGGCGGCGCCGTCGGCGGCGAGCGGCGGGGGCACGGGCGCGAAGTCGTGGGGACGTAGCGGGGAGGCAGTGGGCGGC